GACTTTTCATGAACTGTTAATTTAAAATAGCATTCAACAAAATAAAATCTCAATTCCAAAAGCATATAACTGTTCCCAAAACATATAACTATTTGGAGTTTGTTTGATGATGTTTGCCGGAGGAAAGGGTTTTTTTTCTTCCACTTTTCTATATTGTTCACTTTTTTTTGAAGGGGTATGGTGATCAGTTCGATTAGAGAGAACAGAGGGATGAGCCCCTTTTCTTTTTTCTAATTCTAAATGGTTAAAAATTAAATTTAATGAATTCTTTGATTTGGGAAGCTAAAAACTATTAAATTAAGTTGGAGTTTGACGGTAGTGAACTTTTAAACTTCTAGGCATAGAATTAATAGTTAGTAATTTATTTTACTGAAAAAAATTAGAAATTACTTGGACGCTGGAAATTGGATACCAACCAATAAAATACGGAAAAATGCCCAAATTGGTTCGACTATTTTATCGTATGTATTGCCCGACTATTGATACGACTAACCGATTTGTATCGAAATTTAATATTTTCGTTATGTATCGTGCAATACATATTGCGTATCGTATGATACTAACAACACTAGTCGTAAGTATCTCTAGTTATTTATTTCATATAAGTAGAAAGAAAATGATCCGAAGTCCAAACCCGTATTTCCTCTTTCCTTCAACTATTAAACCCCTACAATTCAAATTAGCTTATATGAGCTCACTGCCCATAAATGACAACAATGGCGCTTCAATTAGCATTTCTTGAAGGACTGGATCCAAAATGGAACATGCTCGTTGCCTACGCGTCTCCCTCCTCGAGGTTTGCTTCCATTTCTTCTTTTTTTTTTTTTTTGATGAAAAGGTTAATTTGTATTAACTTCTCAATCACAAAACCAACATTTACACTTGCACATCTATACACATCTATTACGTCAAGGCTCAATCTTGTATGCTCACATTCCTATTCTATCAAAATAGGCTCTGTCTATTTGACTCACTTTCCTGCAACACACTTTAAACCTCCAGCACCTTTCCTGTTTGATCTTATTCACTACAGTACTAACAGACTTGCACTCTTTTCCATGCTGTACATTATTCCTTATTTTCCATATATAATACACAACAGCAGCTACTGCACCATACAAGAGCTTCTTCTTCCACTTGCTTTGAACCCGGATTCTCAGCAGTCGGTTTTTCCATAATCCAATCTGATCAGGGATCAGAGAACATTCCAGCCAATCTGCTACTCCTTCCAGCACTGGCTGAGAATAACCACATTTAAACATCAAGTGATCCAAGCTCTCTGTTTCTGTGTTACACAGGCCACAATTCAAGGGTGTTGCAATAATTCCCAGTCTCAACAGTCTGTCAGCAGTCAACAGACGTTTCTTCATTGCCAACCAGAGAATAAAACTGTGCTATGGAACATTCAATCTGTTCCAAATGACAGTAGCTTCTCTCATTCTTGGACCAGCACCTCTCAACCATTCATAACCCGATTTAACTGAGTAATAACCCTTTTGATCAGCCATCCATTTTCCTTGGTTGTACTTAGAATAGGGAAATTGTATTGAATTCATGATGTGTTGTGCACAATATACAGACTATATATAGACAATAACAAACCCTATAATAGGAAATATACTAAATATTACAATACGCCCCCGCAAACTCACGGCGGAGAAGAGAGAAGCCGAAATTTGTCCCGAAATCGAAAGAATAACTCTTTGGACAAGGGTTTTGTCAGAATATCAGCAAGCTGATCAGCAGCAGAGATAGAATTGACCGAAACAAACTTACGCCGAACATGATCTCGAACAAAGTGAAAATCAACCTCAACATGTCTTGTACGAGCATGGAACACAGGATTCACAGCAAGGAAAACTGCACTACTGTTGTCACACCAAATAGAGGGAGGGCGATTTAAAGAAACGCCTAACTCGGACAACAGATGACACACCCAATGCAGTTCAACACAGACATTAGCAACCGCACGAAACTCAGCCTCAGTAGACGAGCGAGCCACAGTGGGCTGCTTCCTAGATGCCCAGGCAATGAGATTAGGTCCCAAATAAATGAGAAAACCAGTAGTAGAGCGACGATCATCCGGACAACCAGCCCAGTCAGCATCACTAAACGCAGTAAGAGTACCCAAATCTGTAGGATGCAGAACTAAACAGAAATCAATGGTACCACGAAGATAGCGAAGAACCCGTTTGAGAGCCTGAAAATGAGAAGTGCGAGGCTGATGCATGAACTGACAAAGCTTATTAACCGCAAAGGAGATATCTGGACGAGTGAGAGTGGTATACTGCAGATCGCCACACAACCGACGATAAGTAGTCGCATCATCGGGAGACAACAGTACCATCCAAACGGGACAACACAACATTAGCCTGCAAAGGAGTGGAAACAGGTTTGCAAGTATGCATATTTGCAAGTCGTAGCAAATCAGTGACATACTTGGGCTGAGAGAGAAGCAAACCCTTGGAAGTACGACGAACCTCAACCCCAAGAAAGTAACTCAATGGACCTAAATCCCGAAGAGAAAACTCCTTAGCAAGACAAGAGATAAAATGCTGAACCAAACCAGAAGTGCTGCCTGTAAGAATAATGTCATCCACATAGACCAGTAAAAAACACAACTGCGACCCACGGCAATAGACAAAAAGAGACGGATCACAACGAGACTCCACAAAACCCAAGGTAAGTAGAAATGCTGCCAGCCGAGAATACCAGGCCCGAGGCGCTTGCTTAAGACCATACAAGGACTTATGCAGTTTACACACATAATGAGGGCGCACCGGATCAACAAACCCCTGTGGCTGAACCATATACACGGTCTCACTGAGAACACCATTAAGAAAGGCATTACTGACATCAAGCTGAGAAATCGACCATCCACGAGCCAGGGCAACTGTCAAAACGGAACGAATGGTAACCGGCTTAACAACTGGACTAAAAGTGTCAGTGTAATCAACCCCAAAAGACTGAGTAAAACCTCGAGCCACCAACCGAGCCTCATACCGCTCAATAGAGCCATCAGCATGAGTTTTAATCTTATAGAGCCATCGATTACCGACAACATTGCCGGAGGAAGGAGGGGGAACTAAAGTCCATGTGTTATTTTTGAGGAGGGCGGAAATTTCATCCTTCATGGCATTCTGCCACTGAGGAAGAGATTTGGCTTGGGTGAAGGATGTAGGAGCAGTAGACAAGGCTGGGGAAACAGAGGTAAGATGAGCCGAGGGATCAAAGATTTTCTTGGGCTTGGGTTGTGGACGAAGTGTCATTGAGTGCTGACGGGAAGAAGGAGGAGGAGGTGGCGGCGGAGGACTGCAATCAGATGATGAAGGGCTGGATGCAGGAGATCTAGCTAAAGGTGATGAGTCGGGAGGGATAGGAGGAGACGAAAGAACTGGTGTACTAGAAGGAGACAAAGAAGACGCAGAAGACGACGCAAGTATACCAGGAGAACTGGTTACACGCAACCAAGGGGTAGCAGAAGACTCCAGCAGTGAAGAAGGAGAACTAGAAATAGGAAGTTTAAAGGGAAAGAGTTTCTCATCAAACTCAACGTGACGAGCAACATAAAGACGGTTATTCACCACATCAAAACAGCGATAACCAAGATGAGATGGAGAATACCCAAGAAAGACACACTGAGTAGAACGAAAAGAGAATTTATGTTTATTATAAGGGCGAAGAAGAGGATAGACAGTGCAACCAAAGACACGAAGAAAGGTATAATCAGGTGGCTCGTGATATAGTGTAGTAAAGGGTAGGTGACCTTGAAGAGGTTTACTAGGGTGGCGATTAATCAAAAACACAGCAGTTTCAAAAGCAAACTCCCAAAACCGAAAAGGGGTACTGGAATGGCCAAGGAGAGCAAGTCCAATGTCGACAATGTGACGAATTTTGCGTTCAGCAGTGCCATTCTGCTCATGAGTGTGTGGGCACGCTAAACGATGAACAATACCAACATCCTTAAAGAAAGAATTGAGAGAACGAAATTCACCACCCCAATCGGAGTTAACACTTTTAATGGTAGTGCCAAATTGGTTTTCTACGAGAGCTTTGAATTTGCTTGAAAACATGGACAACATCGCTTTTATATTTAATTGGATAAATCCATGTGAATAAAGAGAAGTCATCAATAAAAAGCACAAAGTAGCGATAACCATTGAATGACAAAATAGGAGCAGGACCCCAAACATCAGTGTGAATTAAATCAAGAGGTTTAGAGCTACGATGAAATGTAGAAGGTAAACTGACCCTATGTAACTTCCCTAAACAACACGCCTCACATTTATCAGTGGACGTGGACACAGAGGAGTAAGGAAGTTGAAACTGCCTAACCAAAGTACGAAGAGTGACATTATTAGGGTGCCCTAAACGAGCATGCCACTGACCTAAAGAGACAAGATAAGCTGCTGGAGACAAGGAACCACGAGCAGGAAGATCTAAGCGATAGAGACCATTATCAGCCCGACCGCGGAGGAGGAGTTCCTTGGTTGAAAGATCCTTAACACAACAAGAGTCAGAATAAAATTCAAAGAAACAGTGATTATCACGGGTAAACTTTTGAACAGATAACAGAGGTTTAGTAAGAGAAGGAGCATGCAAGACACGATTTAAATAAAGAGGACGAGAAAACGATGGCAAAACAGATTGACCAACATGCTGAATAGGTAAAGCATCTCTATTACCAACTAAAATATGATCCGTACCAGTATAATCATTGGAGATACTGAGAGAGGACAAATCTGGCGTGACATGATCGGTAGCACCAGTGTCCGGATGCCAGGGAGTGACAGAAGGTGCATACTGCGCCATATGGGCTTGAGGAGACATAGTCGCCTCCGGGTAAGACGGAAGAGGCAACAAACCAGTGAAGGCGGTGCGGGGAACTCGCTGGGCATAAGCAGCCGACCGAACGGCGGGGTCGAGGAACAAAGTTAGTATCAAAACGGCGTCGACAAGTGGCGGCCGTGTGATTCAAGATGCCGCAAAGCTGACACGTCTCACCCAGAGCGGGAGGGGTGTAACCGCGCGACCACCACCACGACCGAAACTGATTGCGCCGGCCGCCGCGTTGCAGCGACCGGCACGAGAGGATTGAGGCGGCGTAGGAGAAGGTGGCGACCGCACAAGCATGGGTGTGGGTGAAGGACCGTGCGTTGGGCGTGAAGAAGCACCTCATACGAAACTAACTGTCCAAGGAGATCTTGATAGGAGGGGGGTTCGGATCGCTGTTGTAGAGCTCCGATGATGCCATTGAATTCGGCACCAAGCTTGCGGAAGATTATGGCATTAAACTCCGCAGGAGATATGCGATGGCCGGCAAGCTGCAGTGTATCGGCGATGCCCTTCGCTTTGGAGAGGAGATCCGTGACCGACAAGTCACCTTTTTGCAAGCTGTGGAGCTCCATAACAAGCTGGGTCTGTTGAGCATAAGAAAGAGTGCCGAAACCCTGCTGAAGAGCTGTCCATGCAGCCTCCGATGTTGTGCAGCCCTGGAGAACGGGAAAAATCTCTTCAGCAACGGAAGAAAGAATCCAAGAGAGGACCAACTGATCCTTTTGCTGCCAGATATCAAACTCAGGATTGAGTTGGGGCACAGCACCACTAACGGAAGGAAGAAAACGTGGCGGTGCAGGTTCGGTGCCGTCGACAATACCGGCAACGAAACATAGTCAATAAAGGAGTAAACTGAAGACGCCAAGACGAATAGTTGGCCCTCGATTGCAGCTTCACAGTAAAGGAATGATTGAGAGATTGCATACTAGGTTGAAGAATTGATACTGATGTCTGTGAAGAAGATACCGGTGATCGACTTAGAATAGGGAAATTGTATTGAATTCATGATGTGTTGTGCACAATATACAGACTATATATAGACAATAACAAACCCTATAATAGGAAATATACTAAATATTACAATAGCTGTAACCAGCTTTCAAAACATCTTTATCGTCATCAGCCTTTGCCAATGCCAGCAAGCTCCTGTTGGTGATTGGTATTCCTACACATTTTGTCTTTTGAAATAATACTCGTGACACCACTTGACCCATAAATTGTCTTTTTTAGTTGCAAGATCCCAGACCTGCTTTCCCAGTGCAGCTTTGATCCAAACAGCTAGTTCTTTGATGCTCAACCCACCAAACTTCTTAGGTTTGCAAATTTCATCCCATGGATATGCCTTACCATTCTCTTTTTTCCCCCAAAGAAAGACTCTACATACCCTGGTCACTTGAGTTATGGTCTTCTTTGGCAGCATAAAGATACTGGCCCAGTATGTGTGCAAGGATAACAATAATGAGTTAATTAAGACAACCCTCCCAGTATAGGATAAGTGTCATGATGACCAGCATTTTATCCTTGCTGTAACTTTCTCTACCAACACCTGACAGTCCAAATTACTCCATTTCCTAGGGGATAATGGCACTCCCAAATATTTCATTGGGAAGCTGCCCATACTAAAGCCAGTGATGTTCCGTATTTCCTCCTTTAACTGATTATCAACTCCACCACAGTAGACATGAGACTTACTGAGGTTAGCTCTTAAACCAGTTGACTCTGTAAATTCCTCTAAAATACCCTTTACTCTCATTACTGTTTCCTTATTAGTACGGCAAATAATTATCAAATCATCCGCAAAGAAAAGGTTAGTGAGCTGTACCCTTTTACACTTGGGATGATAGTGGAAACCACCCTTCTCAACATCAGCTTTGAACAACCTCGTCAGATACTCCATACACAGAACAAAAAGAAGCGGGGACATGGGATCACCCTGCCTGATGCCCTTTTGTCCTGCGAAAAAACCATTCAGACCACCATTCATGCTCAATGTATAACTACTCGTTTGTATACATTCTTTAATCCATCTGATGAACTTTCCTGGAAATTTATAAGCTACTAACACTTCTTCAATAAATTCCCATGCAATGGAATACCGTATGCCTTTTGAAGGTCCACCTTCATTAGGCATCTAGGGGAAGCATTCTTTCGGTTATACAACTGTAAAATCTCCTGAGTCAAGAGGATATTGTGGACTATGAGCCTGTTTCTGATAAAAGCATCTTGGTTCTCATCTATTAGTTGAGTTAAGCTGTCAGCCATTCTATTACACAAGATCTTGGTAATAAAGTGTATTACAGCAAGAAATTGGTCTGTAATCAGCCGCTGTTTGAGGAGTCTCCTTTTTCGGAATTAATGCAATCACTGTTGCATTAATCTGTTTCAGAATCTGCCCACTTCGGAAAAACTCTTTCACAGCAGCACAGACGCTATCCCCAACTATGGACCACGTTTTCTTGTAAAAACCGCTGCTAAACCCATCAGGGCCAGGGCTCTTAGGGTCATCAATGGAAAACATGGCCATTTTTATTTCTTCATCATTAATTTCCTTATCAGATCCACTTGCTGCTCCAAGCTCAATACCCTACCAGTAGTACAGACCTCCGTTCTGATTGGCTTTCTTTGCATTTTCACCCCAAGTAGATTTTTGAAATAACCTAGGAAATGCTCCTGCACCCTATCCCATTCATCAACTGTACTCCCATCTATTTCTGTATACGCAGTTATTCGGTTCCTCCTTTGTTTTTGTTTCAGCACTGCATGAAAGTAAGCAGTATTCAAATCCCCTTGCTGTAACCAGGTTTCTTTCGTTTTCTGTTGCCAGTAGCTACGTGCACTTGAACACACTTCTGCATACTGCTTCACTAACTCTCTTTCCTTTTGCTGCAATTCAGTATTTTGCGGCTGTTGCTGGAGTTCCCTTTGCACCTGTTCCAACTCTTGTTTCCTTGATTGAACTTGGATATCTATATCTGCAAATCTTCGCCGATTTAAATCTTTCAAAAGTGGTTTCAGCCTTTTCTGTTTCTGGACCAACTGAAACTGGCTACTTCCTCTGATACAGCATTGCCACACCGTCTTCACTATATCCTGGTATTCCTCTGAGGCAGTCCACATATTAAAAAAATCTGAAGTTCTTCCTTACATTGACCTGTTTGGAGCTCCATTTCATAACTAAAGGACAGTGATCTGACAAACCTTCCGGCGAACCACTGCTAAACTGTCCTCAAATTCCATCAACCACTGTTCCTTAACCAAAACCCTATCAAGTTTTGCACATATTCTGCGGTCCCCTATTTGTTTATTATTCCATGTGTATACTCTTCCCATGGTATGAAGAGGGATGAGCTGACACTCCTCTATTGCCCTTTTAAACTCTCCAACTTCACTTGCTGTGACAGGCAGACCCCCAACCTTTTCCTTTTTGACAGATGATGCTGTTGAAATCACCAGCGAGGCAGCAATACTATATTTGTATACTGCACAGAGATCAAGCTTCTAAGTTCTCTGTGCTTTAGGGGGGTGTGAAATCCCCTGAGTGTTCCAGATGAGGATGTTATTCCTGGGGTAAACCCCTGCGTCCCACTCCCATCTACTTCCTTATCCAGATTCTATATCCCTCACTGGATTCCCACTGTATGCTATCTTCTTTCCTTCTGCTTGACCAACAACTGGATCCATTTCTCCTTCTGATCTCAACTATTATTCATAATTTCAGCGAAGTTTAATTAATCTTTTTCCCTGCCTTTTTTTGCAGTCGGAAAAAAAAAAGCTTCAAATCAAACTCCAGAGTACTAAAATCGAAGAAGCATACGATCAGATTACTCGAGCAGTGTAGATCCAAAAGTTCGATTCGCAAAACAAGGCAGAATCATAAGAGGAAATTTAATAATGATGATCAATTGTCAAGTTCTTTGACTGTATTTTGCGTGTCAGTTAGTGCCAACTGCTCATGTGTATCAAAAGATAAGTTCGGGAGTGGAGGCAATACAAGAGGAACTTTGTAAGTAACAGAGAAAAGTGAGCTCTTACTCTTGGAACTTATTATTGTTTTGAATGTCAAGGAAATGGTGGATAAGTATGTTATTGAATTTCCTCTTATGATTCTGCCTTGTTAAAGAGGTCTTGAGAAAAAAAATTTAAGTTACTGTGTACCCAAGCTTTTCTACTCAGTGGTTGAAACCACAAAAGAACATCAGTTGGCATTTTGGAGATTGTTCTACCCTAGCAAGTGGTTTCCCTAATTGTATTTAGTTCTGATTTGAAGATAAGTGTAAAACTTTTTTCATAATTGTGGTGTGCACCTGCTTGCATTTTGTTCGCACTGAATTCTTGTTGCTCCTTATTCCGGCCTTAAAGATGTAGCGAAAAACCTGAATACTATTCCAGCTGCATACGGTAGTGAGAAGTGCTTAATACAACTTGCCATATTTGAGAAATAGTTCTCCTGGAGCTTTTAGTTGCATATTGTATACATTATTTCAGATGTATTTTACATCATCCAAGAAGATGGCTAACCGTGCTGTACATAAAGATTGAAGAAGCTATCGGCCGGTGAAATCAGAGATAGTGACTGTGGCATTAGAGTTTGATGACAAGGTTTCAGGTGACCCTGTTTCTTTGTAGAACTTCCTAACTATACCGACCATCATACTATTAGAAGAAAGGCGACGCTGCTCAATTGACACATCACTTGACAGCATGACAACCACCTCAGACATGGTGGGTCTATCAGAAGGTTGTGGCTGAGTGCAGACCATGGCGATCTCTAGGACTTTCTTCACTTCTTCAGCATCGTAGTCGTTAGGGTCCAGCGTTTCATCCACCAACTGTAGATGTGCGTCCATCTCATAAAGCTTGCACGCCTGTTATCACAATCAAAGTGGGATATGTCATAAGAGCTTAGCGAATTAATAATGAACCAAGAAAGATGAGATATACCTGCTCAAGAAGGTACCCACTGTCAGGGTCAACTTTTGTGTTGCATCTCATGCCGCTGATTATTTCAAGGGCTACAATTCCAAAGCTGTAAGTATCTACTTTCTCTGTCAAATGTCCCTTTGTTGCATATTCTGGTGCTGTGTATCCCCTGTGGCAATGCAGTTACTCAAATTCAGTAAGATTAACTGATATATAGCTGATGAGTTCATCTCTTCTTCTCCGAAATCAGTTTTCCCTGACTAGTGGTTTTAGAAAAGTGAAGTACTAAAATTCATTCCGGTGATTAAGTAATATTGATATGATTGATGAATAAATTTTACTCACAAGGTACCAGCAAATCTTGTGCTCAAATGACTGCGATCGTCAGGCAAAAGTTTCGCCAATCCAAAATCAGCAATCTTTGGCAGAAAATCACCGTCTAGTAAGATATTGCTCGATTTTATATCGCGATGAATAATGCAAACATGGTATTGTTCATGCAGATACGCAAGACCCCTAGCCATTCCAAATATTATGTTAAACCTCTGCTTCCAGCTGAGAAGTCCTTTTTTTTCTCCTGCCAGCATGAAGATAAAAGGATCTTGATTGATGAATGCAAGAGTAGAAGTGAAGAAGATTTTGTATCCATAAGAAATTTTGGGAAACAATAACATCCGCACACATTCGAAGATAAAGATTACGGTACCATATAGATATCTATCTAAGCTTCCGTTTGCCATGTACTCATAGACAAGGAGCAGGTCAGCCCCTTTGTCCGCACAACCTAATAGGCGCACAAGATTCCGATGGTGAACATTACTAATAAGTCTGACTTCACTCTCGAACTCCGCCTTTACCCTATCTGAAATCAGACTAAGCTTCTTGACGGCAACAAAGATACCGTTACTCAATGTGCCCTGTGGTGTTCTCCATGTTAGTAATAAAGACTAATGAAGAGAAACTGATATAATCGAGAATTGTAGGAAAGAAAAATGACCTTAATAGGGGACAGGACACAAATCAAGTATGATACATTACCTTGTACACCTCACCAAAACCGCCTTCTCCAAGTTTATTTTCTTCACTAAAGTCTTTTGTTGCAGATTTTAGAACCCTGTAACTGTAAACTACAGGACCTTGCAGTTCTGTTGCTCCCAAGATATCACCTGGTATATCAGAGGGCTCTACGGTGTTAAATTTGGCCAGGGAAATAATAATGTCTCACGATAGCTCAGAAAAATAAACCATTTACTTGTGATTGAATGTACAGAAATTGAAACATAAAACCCAAAAAATAAAACAAAAAAAAACCTAGGCAAGCTGAGTATCTTACCTTTCTGAACTTTCTTCGGTTTTCGGTTTAGTTGATACCATAAAAATAAAGCAAGTAGAATAAGGACAAGGCCGGCACCACCAACAACTCCACCAATAATGGCTTTCGTTTTCTTTGACAGTCCTGAGAAGGTGTAAAAAACTTGTCAGATCAGAAAACAGAATTGAACTACAAATGTGGATAAATTATACTACAATTTTATGGCATTGGTAAAGTTAGCTCTATAAGTTGTTGTCCAGAAAACAGAAACATCAATGGAAAATGACATCTCACCTCCTCCATCTCCAAGAAAAGGATTGATATTGGTTGTCTGGTTATCGGCGAAAAAAGGAGTTGCTGAATACCTCATAAAACAACCTGCATGATAAGCTCTTCCATCTTCCTTAGGTAAACAGCCATTTATGTTGCTATATGTAATATTCAAGCAGTCTCGACAACCACTCGGGCTGGCTGTTTCGATGCACTGAGCCACTGCATAAACTGCATCTTTACCATTACTGCTCAGTTGCCTCTTTGATGCAGCAAAAAATCCATTAATTCGCGGCGTCGCGAGTTTTAGATCCTGCAACAGAGCCACAGCCTGAGTTTGAAAATTAGTTGGCTGTGATGCATTTTTACTGCTGCATATCCCGCCATATCCATCTTGAGGAGTGGTCTCTTGATAGAAAATCGCACTCTCGTACCTAAAACAGGACCATTGTTGTTGATTAAAAACTTAAATAGAAGAGCTTTTGTTGAAGCAATAAGATTCTCAAAACAAAAGGGAGAATGAAGCAGAGTTTTAGTATTCTTGATCATCAGAACCAAATTGTATACAATTAGTTTGACTCAATTTTTTATGGGAATTTTACCTTAAGAAGCAGCCATCAAACAGAACACGAGCTCCCGTAGCAGCAGAGCAATTCCTGATCTGGGAAACGGCGGTGTCGTAACAAGAAACACAATCAGCATTGGAAAGGTAATTCCTGCACTGAAACAGGGCATAAACAGGGTGGTTTGTGGTAGCAAAATACTTCTTCTGTTGTGATATCTGGTTTCTGAGATCGGCAAAGCTGGAATTAAGATTGTTGAAGAAATCCCTCATATCAGTAGCATTGTACGTGCTACATCCATGAGTTATGTATTTGGTTTGAGGGTCTGAATTTGCTGCTTTGAATGAGACTGATAGAGCAAGAAATGCTACAAGAACAATATGTTTGAAAGGCCAGCAAGTTCCCATTGTTTATTTTGGAGGCTGATTTTGTCACTGAAACAGTTTCAGGTTTTGAGTTTTCTTTGGATTTGTCCAAAATGTATATACATATATAATATATATAGGCTGTGTACCCTGGCATCTGAGCCTGGAATTTTTTGGTTTTAAACTTTAGAAAATGCTGTTATCAGGGGGAGGAAAAAGTCGTCAGTTCACTTCACTACTTCAAATCTGGATTTTTTAAAATTTTTTTTTTTTCAATGCCTTTGGAGTTTGTTGACTTGGCCAGCTATGTATAATAATTATAGAATCATTCCGCCTGATTTTATATAATAGTTAATTTTGTTAAATTTAAAATAATTATTTTCCTTCATAAAATAAAAGATATGTTCATCAAACTAACACAGTACAAATGCTATTTTATTTTGGTGTGATTGTGCTTTGTTTTCTATGGAGCTTCTCTTGTTTTGAACTAATCAAGGCGATAAGTACCTTACACCTAATTAAGCTACTGTTTTATTTTTGCGGTTAGTTTCATAGTAAGTGTGTATGTGCTGCTTTTAACTTCTTTTTCAAATTTCCAAGACTTATACATATTATGTTTTAAAAGCAAACTTTTTCATACATTTCCAAATACAAATCAAATTTCCTAACATACATATGTGTTATTTCAGTTATATCATATTCTAACATTATAAGTGTGAATCACCAATCTAATGCAAGACAGATTGTCCCTATGCAAATCAATGTATTATCTTTCATTTCATTTGTGGAGCTAGAAAGTCCTTCCGTGACCCGGCAACTGTGGGTCATAAATATTTTTCTTCATGGCTCGTAGATATTTATCGAATGTTGGGCAAAGCTTGGTATGAGAAATGAAATTCTACTCATGTGTATGCGCAAGACAACTTAATTTTTATTTTACTTCTTGATATATATATATATATATATATATATATATATATTCGGAAAATGAGAAATGAAATTCTACTCATTTGTATGCGCAAGACAACTTTATTTTTATTTTACTTCTTGATTTAAGTTCAACAATGTACTATTCTTAACAGTTTCTATTGTTATAATCATTCTAGTAAAATAGTAACTGAACTTGAATATTTTCAAGGAAGTTAATTTTACCGAATACTATATGATTTCGTATTTTTATCTTGGTGATGATGTGTCGTATTTACAAGAAAGCCAATTTTAATAAAGACTTTGTGGCATCATTGGCCATCAACTGCTTAGCGGAGCAGCTCACATAACCAACCCGCATGGAAAAGTGTTGGGCCAATATTTCTCCTCAATTGAGCTCAGCATGATTTAAAGCTAAAATCATGTTGAATTTGGTTTTGTTTGGCCGAATAAAAGGAAAATTAATTAGATTTGGTTTTTTTGGTTTGATTGTTTATAAAAGTAATGTGGCCGTGACTTTTTGGCCGTGAATTTGACAAGCAAATTTGGGGCAGACGCACATTATTTTTGTGCGAGAGAAAAGAGAAGAGAAAACCTAGTTCTGAAATTTTTTTGTGTTGCGAGAAGAAAGTGTTTCACTTTAAGACTTTAATCGGGTGACAAAACAGAGTCAGTTATTGGTGCAAGTTTGCATGTGTGTTCATCTCAACAAGATCTACAAATCCTCTGGTTTAGTTTTCAGTTTAGCTCTCTTTTGGTAAGATCCTTCCAATCCTACTTTGTGGTTTAAGTGTGTGTGGAAGAGTATTGTTGTAATCTACCTTTGGTTGAAGTCCTGTGTATCCACCGATTGGTGAAGATTGTTTCCCATTATTGTGATAGTGGAGATTTGATTATTGTTACAGTCCCGTGGTTTTTCTCAATTTGGGTTTTTCACGTAAATTCGTGTGTCTACTTTACTTTATCAGTTCTTGAATTATTTGTTTGTTTGGTTGGTTGTCATATTTTATTGGTAGTAGGAAATGAGTTTTTCTTAGGAATCATTTCCGCTGGTTTATTGTGTTTATACCCTTTCTACCACAACAGTGACATCAGAGTTACGGTTCGGTAATTGAGGTAACCAATAAAATGGAAGAGTCATCGGGTACTAGTACGATGATTAAATTGACTTCATCCAATTATCATATGTAGAAACCTAGAATGGAAGACTTGTTGTATTGCAAAGATTTGTTTGATCCTGTTCTAGAGGATAAAGGTAGGCCAAGTGATATGACTGATGAAAAGTGGGCTGATATGCACAGGAAGACTGTTGGTAATATTCGACTGTGGATTGATCAAAGTGTGTTTCATCACTTTTCGGGAGAAACAAAAGCTGATGAACTTTGGGAGAAAATCTAGAATATGTACTGGAAGAAGTCCAGTATCAATAAGTCATCTGCGCTGAAACAGATTACCAGGTTGAGGTGCAAAGATGCTGCTAGCATGAATAAGCACTTGAGTTCGTTTCAGGGTTTGTTGAACCAAGCAGTGAATGTAGGTTTAAAGTTGGATGATGAGGTGTATGCTTTGTTATTGTTTAGTTCTCTTCTAGATAGATAGAACACTTTAGTAGTGTCAATAAGTAATTCAACCTAGGATGGTGTCTTAACCTTGGATCAGGTGAAAGAGGCTTTGATGAATGAAGAAGTCAGAAGAAAAGAGCAGAGTATTGAGTCTGAGTCGCAGTCTCTGGTGACATAAAATTCAGATAGAAGAGGGAGAAATAAAAGCAGAGGGCCACGTGATCGGAATGACAAGTTCAGGGGACGGTCTAAATCTAAGAAAGATGCCGTGTGCTACCATTGTCAAGGGAATGGGCACTTTAAGAGGGAGTGCATGGTTCTCAAGAGAGAGCTAGTAGCGAGAAAAGGTAAAGGCAAGAAGGATGAATCAAGTGATGATGACACTACTACAGTAGTAACTACCTGCAGTGATGTATTTGTGTACTGTGATGATGATACAATTAATGTTGTGAGTCACGACAGTGATTGGTTCTGTGATTCAGGTGTGGCTTATCATGTGACACCTCACAGACACTTTTTTACCTCTTACACACCTGGAGATTTTGGTCGTGTAAAAATGGGCAATCAAGCCTCATGCGATGTTGTCGGCATGGGAGAGGTATCATTAGTAACGAATACAGGTTGTCCTCTTGTCTTGAAGAATGTCAGACATGTTCTGGATATAGGTCTGAACCTTATTTCCGTTGGAAAACTTGATGATGAGGGTTATCATAACACTGAAGGTGGTGGCTGTTGGACAATTACCAGAGGGAATCTTGTTATTGATAGAGGAAAGAAGTTGAACTCTTTGTATGTGTTGAATGCAAAGTTTAAGAATGGAGAGGTGAATGCAACTCACAATGCCTCGGTTGATCTCTGGCACAGAAGGCTTGGACACATTAGTGTCAAGGGGATCCAGATTCTTGGTAAGAAGCAATTTCTCCCTGAGGTGAAGGGTAATGCTCTAGAACCTTGTGTTGACTGTATCTATGGTAAACATCATTGGGTTTCCTTTCAAAATTCTCCTCCATCTAGAAAGTCCAGTCCTTTAGAGTTAGTTCATACAGATGCATGTTACATGAAAGATAGGTCGTTGGGTAGAGCATTGTACTTTGTTACTTTCATTGATGATTATGCTCAAAAGGTTTGGTGTTTTTGTTTAAAATCTAAAGATCATATATTAGATGTGTTCAAAGACTTTCACCTCAGAGTTGAACGAGAGACTGGCAAGAAGTTGAAGTGTGTTCGAGCAGATTATGGTGGTGAGTACAGGGGGTCCGTTTGAGAAGTATTGCCGAGACCATGGCATTAAACTTCAGAAGAGTGTTCCGAAGACTTCGCAACAGAATGGCGTCGCAGAAAGAATGAACAGAACTATTACCGAAAAGATTATGTGTATGCTCTCGAATGTAAAACTGCCTAAATCTTTTTGGGGTGAAGCCACGCAGACAACAGTTGATTTGATCAACCTATCTCCCTCAGTTCCGTTGGATGGTGATTTACCACAACGAGTTTGGACAGGGAAAGATGTCTCATTTGGACATTATGGTTGTCGTGCCTTTATTCATATTCCCAAAGACGAAAGGTCGAAGCTTGATGGAAAATCCAAGCAGTGTATATTCTTGGGGTATGGCAATGATGATTTTGGGTATAGACTTTGAGATCCTGTAGAGAAGAAAGTTTTCAGAAACAGAGATGTGATCTTCTTTGAAGACTAGACCATTGATGATATGGGAAAGGACGAGATGCCAGAATCTTCACCTGAGATTCCTGTTGATCTAGATCCAGTTCCTCCACAATCAGATGATTCTCCTGAAGGGGAGAGCTGAAACTGAGCAGAATGATGAGTTTGATGATGATCCTACTTCTGAAACAGAGACACCACCGGTTTCATCACCTCTTGTCTAGTCAAGGAGGTCCACCAGAGACAAGAAACCTTCCACCAAGTATAGTACTCATGAGTATTTGTTACTTACTGATGGGGGAGAACCAGAGTCGTATGAAGAGGTTCTTAGTCATGAGCAGAAAGAGTAGTGGTTAGCAGCCATGCAAGATTAGATCAAATCCTTGCATGAGAATAACACGTATGACCTGGTGAAGCTGCCTAAGGGCACGCGAGCACTCAAGAATAAATGGGTGTTCAGACTGAAGACAAGTGAGAACAGCTCACAACCGAGTTACAAAGCTAGATTAGTTGTGAAGGGATTCAATCAGAGAAAGGGCGTAGACTTTGATGAGATATTCTCTCCTATTGTAAAGATGTCTTCGATCCGAGTTGTGGTTAGGATAGCGGCCAGTTTGAATCTTGAGATTGAACAGCTTGATGTGAAGACAACCTTCTTGCATGGTGATTTGGAAGAAGAGATTTACATAGAGCAACCAGATGGGTTCCAGGAGAAGGGGAAAGAAAAGTTTATATATCGTCTCAACAAAAGCTTGTATGGGTTGAAGCAAGCTCCGAGGCAGTGGTACAAGAAGTTTGATGCTTTCATGATAGGGCAGAGATACCAAAGAACTACAGCCGATCACTGTGTGTCTGTGAAGAAATTCTCTGATGGTGATTTTATAATTTTTTTGCCTTATGTCGATGACATGTTGATTGTTGGTCATGATATTGCAAAGATTGCCAGGTTGAAAAAGGAGTTGAATAAGTCCTTTGCAATGAACGATTTGGGTCCAGCTAGACAGATCTTTGGGATGAAGATTTCTCGTGACAGACATAATGGGAAGCTTTGGATATCTCAAGAGAAGTATATCGAGAAGGTTCTTGATAGGTTTAACATGAGCGGTACTAAGGAAGTCTCGACTCCACTTGTAGGGCATTTTAAGCTAAGCAAAACACAGTGTCCTAAAAGTGAGAAAGATAAGGAAGAGATGAAAAAGATTCCTTATGCTTCGGTAGTTGGCAGCATGATGTATGTGATGGTTTGCACAAGGCCAGACATAGCTCATGCAGTTGGTGTTGTTAGTCGGTTTCTTTCCAATCCTGGTAAGGAGCATTAGAATGCTGTGAAACAAATTCTCAGGTATCTTAGGGGTACTTCCAGATTGAGTCTTTGCTTTAGCAATGGGAAGACCATGTTGGATGGATATACAGATGCTGACATGGCGGGTGACCTTGATAGTCGGAAGTCTACTTCTGGATATTTGATGACATATGGAGGGGGAACAATTTCATGGCAGAGTAGGTTGCAGAAGTGTGTTATTTTCTCTACTACAGAGGCAGAGTTTATCGCAACTACTGAATCTTGTAAAGAAGTACTTTGGTTGCAGAAGTTTCTACAAGAGTTTGGCATGAAGCAAGAGAGGTATGTTGTGTATTGTGATAGCCAGAGCGCTATTCACTTGGTGAAAAATTCCACATTCCATTCGCAGTCTAAACATATTGATGTGAGATATCATTGGATTCGAGATGTGTTGGAGTCCAAGGTGTTGTTTCTTGAGAAGATTCATAAGGATGATAACGGTGCCGATATGTTGACGAAGACTGTGAGTAGAGACAAGCTCCTGTTTTGCAGACAGGAAACCGGTTTGGTTTTACCCCCCAATTGAGATGAAGGGGGAGATTATTGGGCCAATATTTCCCCTCAAGTGAGCCCAGCATGATTTAAAGCCAAAATCATGTTGGATTTGATTTGGTTTGGCCAAATGAAAGGTAAACCAATTGGATTTGATTTTTTTGGTTTGATTGCTTATAAAAGCAATGTGGCCTTAACGTTATTGGTGCAAGTTTGCATGTGTTCCTTTCAACAAGATCTACAAATCTTCCGATTTAGTTTTCAGTTTAGCTCTCTTTTGGTAAGATCTTTCCAATCCTAGTGGTTTAAGTGTGTGTGGAAGAGAATTATTGTAATCCACCTTTAGGTGTAGTCCTGTGTATCCACCTTGGTGAAGATTGTTTCTCATTATTGTGATAATGGAGATTTGACTGTTGTTACAGTCCCGTGATTTTTTCCAATTTGAGTTTTTCACGTAAATTCGTGTGTCTACTTTACTTAATCAGTTCTTGAATTATTTGCTTGTTTGATTGATTGTCCTATTTTATTGATAGTAGGAAAGGAGTATTTCTTGGGAATCGTTTCCGCTGGTTTGTTGTGTTTATACCCTTTCAGCCGTAACAAAAAGGTGTGATATTCTAATTCACAGTCATGTATAATAAGAATTATTAACCGTGTGTGTTTGCTCGGTAGGACTTAAGGCTAGTAGATGATTTATGGAATGCAACATTTACTTATCAGTTTTTGGAGTTCTTTTTTAGCTGCGAAGAATTCCTTTTGGACGTACGTTTTACAAATAATCAAATAGATGAAGAAAGTTTTTTTTTTTTTTTTTCTCTTCTCACAAAACGTCGTCCATTTGAAAGGTCTATTGAGCATGCATTGACCTGGAAACAGTCCAAAGGTAAAAATGTCACTTTAGCAGTGGTGGACTTTGAAGAAAAAAAAAATAGAAAAAAAAAAGAAAAAAGAAAAAAGGTCAGTATCAAAGCAAATCATGAATCCACAGTCATTGTAACGGTCAATCCCTTCTATCACAGGTGTATTTATTTTCTTGCATCGTGGACATTATTTTGTTGAATTGGTCAAGGAATCATTTTGCAATCTTTAACCACAGTTTGTGAGTTGCATTTGATTGTTTTTGTACTGTATATTATTATCGTAATTAGAGGTTTCTTTTTCACAAAATGAATAAACATTAGTAGTCGTTTCAATTTTTCTTTTCAAAAAAGTGTGCAAATAAAATACTCTCTGTGTCTCAAAATTATTGTCCACTTTGAGATTTCACTTTTAGTACTCCATCTGTCTCATAATTATTGTCCATTTTGAGTTTTAGTTCAATTTGTACTCCCTCCGTCCCATAATTATTGTCCAGTTGGGTTTTCATTTTTAGTTCAATTTGTACTAAAAATGAATAATTAATACGAACAGTTGTAATAGGAGATTGAAATGTGGAAGGCTTTTTAGCTCTAATATATTTAACTATTTGTAGTGGACTACATGAAATATTTATCAGCAAAACGGTCCAATTAGTATTTCATTGTTTAATTTTAAATTCATACACTTGTTTCTATATGAGACACCAAAAAACTTTGCTAGATCACTTGATTTAATTTCCTTGACTTTGGTGATAATCGAATTACGAATATCATCAATTCCTGTTATCTTATTTTTCTAAGATGAAGGGAGCCGTAAAAAAAAAGAAAATAACAAGATTCATTCCTTTCTGACTTGCCACATCTTCCAACATATGGCTCCTAACAATAAGCTCCAACTGTTTAATTATACTATCATTCATTGACTTGGCAATTTCTTTATCCTAACATTATTTTTTTCTTTGATGTTACTTGTTAGTCAATCTGTCTATATCTACTCAGTATCTGTTGCTTTTCTCACAAATGCCACAAGAGATCATTGGACAGAAAGCTGATGTTGAGCTCATATATATGATAACTGTCAAGGGTCAACTTCTGTCGTTATTTGCAGGTAAAAAGAAATCAAAGGGCAAAGACATTATGCCCTATCTATTGACTCCAAATTCACAACTTTTGTTTGCCATTAAAATGTTCTAAATTATTATTCATACTTAGCTGTATTACGATTTCATAAATTATATTGATCGGCTACCTAATTATTTGTACCTCCAAGTTGTGAACCCTTCTGAGCGCTTTTTGCTGACATTGTTGTTGACCAAGGGTAAGATCATCTTTAAAACTATTTTGCAACATTTTATCATGTTTAATTTCTTTAATTAATGGGATAAAAGACGTGTTCATTGTACAGTTATAATTCAATAAATATGATTTTTTTGGTAACATGATCCGTGTACTAGTATTTGATCCATCCAAAAGTCAATGTGTTTGAAATATCACAAAATAAGGAGTATTCAATTGTTTTCTGATATGATCACAGGGGTCCCCCATTAAAGCAAATTGGAAGTAGTCAATGTTTTCGTTTCATAAATATCATGACTACTAGAACCGCATTCATATTTTGGTAACAGCAATTTCAGTATTTTATAGTGATTAATTTGAATATGGAAGGTTTCTAATCCCCCCAATGGTTCAAATCAAGCGGGTATAACTTTGCACATCTCGTAATACTGGTCATTTTTCGTGAACTAATGTAGTTTTCATAATGAGAATTCTTATACTGTAATCAACTAATCCATCATATACAGTATAGTCCATTTTGTTGAGCGTACATTTCAACAAAGCACGCACTAATGTGGAATGAAGGAATTTTAACAATTTTCCTCATTATTTACCAGTAATGAGAATAGCAATTTTCTAAAATTTTGGATTATTGTCACTAACAAATAACAACAGAAGAAGGAAAGACAATGAAATTTAAAATAAAAAATAAAAAAAAAATAAAAGAAAAGCTTTGATATTTTAAGTAGTGTTATAGGAATATGTTACATGAGACCGGCATTATTTGAGTTCCATTGTTTTCCCCTTTGTACATAAATTTTTTTTTTTTCATTATCAATATGACCTAATTTCATGGATTGCTCGGTTGCTTACCGGCCGGTGTTCAACATATCCTTCTTCTCATCATTAAATAACATACTTCCTTTGTTCCAAAATAATTGTTCAATTTGAATTTTAATTTTTGTACAATTTGAACTAAAAATGAAAATCCAATCAAGATAATCACTTCGAGTTCGAGACGGAAGCTGTATTAAAATGTCCAAACTTGGAGCGACGGTCTCTGTTCAACTTCCATGATTCCATTCACATTTGTAATAAATTTTAAACATGATGATGGAGGATGAAGCAAGGAATGTTGGACTTTTAATTTTGTTTGATTTGGGAAAATGACATCCATTTTTATTTCATAACCCTGGTGATTAGCAATTAATCTTGATCCACACATGTTTGAAGGATTTTGTTTGACTAGTTCTTACACCAACACAATGGTTGACTTTAAGAGGCGTACTAAGTCATCATCTCAGTTAATGTCATTCTCATTAATTGAGTTTCATATTGAATTCGTTCCGTCCTAAAATAATTGTCTTGTTTTATTACAACAAATAGGACAATCGTGTCGGGATGGAGGGCAATAATTAGGTTGAGTTTTTCAAAACTCGGAAGTGTTTAGCATTTTCAGAGCCAGAATCAGCCTAATCATGGGAAGTTACTGGTCCTTCAGGCTTATGGTTATGGTGGCACTTCTTACTGTATCAATCACATTCAAATCAGCAAATTCAGACCCACAAATCACTTTGCTAAATGAGGGATGCAACACGAAGTACCGTGCTGATAATATCACAAATTTTGGCATCAATTTTAATAAGTCTTTAGCTGATCTAAGGAACCAGATATCAGGAGGTAACACACATTTTGCCACAGCACAGGAAGTGTGGACTTCGGACCCGGTTTTCGTGTTGTTCCAATGCAGGGATTACCTTTCTATTGCTGATTGTGTTTCTTGCTTTGATACTGCTTCTTCCCAAATCCAGGAATGCTATCCTCATAATGGAGCTCGTTTTTTATATGATGGTTGCTACCTCAGGTATGTTCAACATTTTTCATCTTCCTATATCAGGTCAGTTTGTTTTGTTTCTTTTTTCCCTTTTTCATTGTATGGATAAGAACTGTGAAGATAGTATCATCTGAGAGTAAGATGTTGTAACAATTTAATGGAAGATAAGGGTATCAATGAATGAAAAGCAAGAAGATTTCAGAAATGTCCTGTTCAAAGCTGTTTAATTCTGTTTCCAGATGATGAATTGAGTTATTGAGATTCTAGTACATACATTATTCATCCTTACTAATGATTATGAAATGCTCTTTACTTGGCTTTTGTCAATTGATGCATTCTAAATAATACTAAAATAGCAAAAATGTTTGCATTTTGAGTGATTGGAAGCTGAAGAAAAAGTTGTTCATAGTGATCTTCAGCAACTCCAATGAGCTCAACAGACATGCTTAGTATTTCTGTAAATTTTCACCGTTTTCTTAAATTATAATTTCACAATGGTACTATACTGGAGGTTTTGATAGTTCAAAAATTGAGTTTAAAGTAAAGAATCCAACATGCCTGAAATGGAGAAGTTAGTCCATTAAGTTATACAATTCGATCGTGCTGATACTATGATTCTAGTTCATGATCCATTTCTTTTGAAGAACAGATCTCTTTAATTCTGCAGAATGTCTTCTAATGATTGCTGTTGAAAGTTCTGTATCCTGTTAATAAACAAATTGTTCGTTTTTTAGGCAGGAGGCTTCATTTTTCTTTGACCAGGCCACTAATTCAGGAAATGGTCAGATTTGTGGCAATCAAACAGCATCACAGCCAACAGATTTTCAAACTCAGGCTGAAGCTTTGTTACAGGACCTCAAACTCGCTACACCTCAAATGGAAGGATTCTTTGCTGCATCAAAGAGGCAATTGGGCAATGGTAGTGATGCAGTTTACGCGGTGGCTCAATGCACCGAAACAGTCAGCAAGAGTGGATGTGAATTCTGCTTGAAGCAGGTATATGACTATATAGATGTCTGTTTACCGAATACAGACGGAAGAGGTTTTGATGCAGGCTGTTTTATGAGGTATTCAGCAACTCCTTTCTTTGCTGACAACCAGACAACCAACATCATTCCTTATCTAAGAGCAAAAGGAGGTGAGATTTTTTTTTTTCCCCCTTGCAATAAATATATTTTTGGACAAACACTTATAGAGCTACCTTAGCCATTATCATAGAAGAGCGCAGTTTATACCAACATTTGTAGCTTCACTTATTGCATCTTCTCAGGAAACTCAAACAAAAGGAAGACAATTATTCTTGGAGCTGTTGTTGGTGTCGGCCTTCTCCTAGTTATACTTGCTTTCTTGTTATGGCATCAACTATACAGAAAAACGAAGAAAATTGAGAAAAGTAAGATGCTTTTCTTGCAAAGATAGACAGCTTGTACCGCTCTCTCTTCTTCTCAATTTTGTCTTTCCAAATCAGAAATCAGTAATATTATTTTTACACAATAGTCTTACTTTTGGTTTTCTGGTCTACTAGGTAATATCTTTGGTACAACAGAAATACGTGGTCCTGTAACCTACAACTACAAGGTTCTGAAATCGGCAACAAGAAATTTCAGTGAAGAAAACAAACTTGGTGAAGGCGGTTTTAGTGAGGTGTACAAGGTATTGTAGCCTATTAAGTTTTTGTCCTGGCATCCATCCATTTAGGTCTTTTCCTTTCTTGCAATTCTCAAATGAAGTTTTCTTGTAATCATGTGTATGTAATGCCTGTTTTTTTTTTTTTCTCATGAATTTTCATCTGTCATCACTGATATTGTAGGCAACTATGAGAAATGGTAAGGTGGTTGCAGTCAAGAAGCTAAACATAAATTTTGGAAAGGCAAAAGCAGACTTTGGAAGTGAAGTGAGACTTATTAGTAATGTTCACCATCGAAATCTTGTGCGCCTACTTGGATACGCTAACAAAGGAGCAGAGCTGCTCCTCGTGTACGAATACATGGCAAACGGAAGCTTAGATAGATTTTTATATGGTATGTATCTTTGAATTGATATGGCTTTTCTTTTATTTTCCCCCCAAGATCAGCAGCTTGTGGATGCCTGATTTTCTTTTCTTTTAGAATTGCATTCATCAGTCATATTTTCACTTCCTGTAGAAGACTCAGTCCATGAAACTTATGGGGATGTTCATATTTACAGGAGAGAAAAGAGGACATTTGGATTGGAAGAAGCGGTTTGACATTATATTTGGCATAGCTAAGGGACTTGCTTACTTGCATGAACAGTTTCATGTCTGCATTATTCATCGGGATATTAAGTCCAGCAATATCTTACTAGATGATGATTTTCAGCCGAAGATTGCTGATTTTGGGTTGGCAAAACTTTTGCCTGAAGATCGGACTCATTTAAGCACTGGATTTGCCGGTACCTTGTATGTATATTAATTCATGCCTTTCACAACCTAGCTAGAATCATGAAACCATTGATCAATTATACAGATAAATTGCTGAGGCCCTTTAATGCATCTCAAGTTCTTAACCGATCATCCATCCAAAACCACTAAGCTGACTGTTCATTTCTTTTTGAAAATTATATCATGATCAACAATGCTTATATGCTTATAAATCTTCAAAAATTGAGCAACTGCTTTTGCAACAGGGGCTATGTAGCACCAGAATATGCAGTTCATGGACATTTGTCTGAGAAAGTTGACACTTATGGATTTGGCATTGTGATCCTTGAAATAATAAGTGGCAGGAGAAGCAATAACACGGCGGTTGCACCTCTCAGTGTGTCCCTTCTCGATCAGGTACGGTTCAAGTAGAGTTAATCTTGTTGTCTATAGTTTATTCTGTTTAGTTTCTCTGTTAATGCCAGTTTCAATGGTGGTGACAGGCATGGAAGCTTTATGAGTCCAAGACTCACCTACAGTTGGTGGACAAAACTTTGGACCCTAAGGATTACGATGCTGCTGAAGTGAAGAGAGTCATCGACATCGCTTTGATCTGCACTCAATCACAACCTTCTGAGAGGCCTACCATGTCTGAGGTGGTCATCATGTTGTCAAGTGATCACTCAATCGAAGAATGTCGACGCTCTAATAGTAACATCAGTTCTGATACAAAGTTATATATAGAAGAGACTCATTGACATCAAATAGAACTGCACAATCAAACTCTAACTCCACAACACCAATTAAATAGCTCGCTTCGGATACAACATGATTACTTGACTCAGGAATGTTTACTAATTGTAAAGTTGATGGAACAAAGTTTTAGAACCTATTACTTGTTCTTGGAGCAGTTTTCAATAGAAATGTATAGATGGCAGAGATTTTAGGGGTTTTTTTTTGTGATTGAAAAATAAATATGCAAGGTTGTTCATACTCTCCCACTCCAATAGTACAAGTATTTTTTTAACTTTCCAAGTCTGATAATAGTAGCCATTCTCTTTAGACTAATATAATCTTCACAATGCGAATGTGTTTCTTAAGACCACATAGTTTCAAAATATGACTAATAGTGAGATTGACGGAGCCTATGTTATATTGGAATGTGGACTATTGATATTGCCATTTGGTGGACTAGTGATGGATTTTTGTTTGAATATTTGTTACACCAACAAATGGTTCACTCAAAGTGTTCGCGAAGTCATCAGTTAGCTTTAATATTGTACTTTTACTCAAACCAGAAGAAAGTGTTACAGAACTCTTTAAGTGTTCAACATTTTCAGAGCCAAAAAATCAGGCTAAACATGGGAAATTGCTGGCCCTTCAGGCTTATTGTTATGGTGGCAATTTTGGCTGTATCAATCTCATTTAAATCAGCCAATTCAGACCCACAAACCACTTTGCTGAATAAAGGATGCAGAACAACGTATCGTGCTGATAACGTCACGAATTTCTACATCAATTTTAATGAGACTTTAGCTGATATTAGAAACCAGCTGATATCCAAAGATAACAAGCATTTTGCCACAGCACAGAAACTTTGGACTTCAAACACGGTTTTCGTGTTGTTCCAATGCAGGGAATACCTCTCTACAGCTGATTGTGTTTCTTGTTTCGACACTGCGGCTTCCCCGGCCCAAGAATGCTATCCTTATGATGGAATTCTTTTCTTGTATGATGGTTGCTACCTCAGGTATGCCCTGATGCTTGGATTTCTTCTTCTTCTTTTAACAGTTTTCTCTTCCTCTTGATTGAAGAGAATGGAATGTCTTCAATTCTAATGAAACCAACAAATTGTTTCTCTTTTTCAGGCAGGAGGCTTCGTTTTTCTTTGACCAGGCTACTCAGTCAGGAAACGGTCAGACTTGCGGCAATCAAACAGCATCACAGCCAACTGTTTTTCAAACTCAGGCTCAAGCATTGCTACAGGATCTTAAACGCGCAGCGCCACGAATCAAAGGATTCTTTGCTGCATCAAAGAGGCAATTCAGCAATGGCAGTGATGCAGTTTACGCGGTGGCTCAATGTACAGAAACAATCAGCCCGAGTGGATGTGAATTCTGCTTGAAGCTGGTATATTTCTATATAGATATCTGTTTACCAAATATAGATGGAAGAGGTTTTGATGCAGGCTGTTTTATGAGGTTTTCAGCTAATCCTTTCTTTGCCGATAACCAGACAACCAACATCAATCCTTATTTAGGAGTAGGAGGAGGTAAGTGTCTTTTTTCTACTTATAGAGCAACTTTCTCCATTTTCATACAAGAGTGCACTTTATCCACATTTGTAGTTTCACTTATTGCATCTTTTCAGGAAGCTCAAACAGAACAAAAACAATTATACTAGGAGCTGTTGGCGTTGGCCTTTTCCTACTTATACTAGCTTTATTGTTATGGTATCAACTCTGCACAAAACCGAAGAAAGTTGAGAAGAGTAAGATAGCATCTCATGCAGACATAGACATCTTGTACCACTCAAATTGACTTTACAATTCAGAACTTGATCTTATTACTATACACAATAGTCATAATATTATTTGTCTTATCAACCAGGAAATATTTTTGGTACAACAGAGCTACGCGGTCATATGATCTACGACTACAAGACTTTGAAATCCGCAACCAGAAATTTCCTTGAAGAAAATAAACTTGGCGAAGGCGGTTTTAGTGAGGTTTACAAGGTATTGTAGCCTAATCCGTGGCGTTCATTTAGGACTCTTCCTATCTAGTCATTATCAAATGAAATTTCCCCGTGTACATAATTTCTTTTCTTTTTTTGGTACCGGATGCATCATTTTATTGCTGACATTGCAGCGCACAATGGGAAATGGTAAGGTGGTTGCTGTCAAGAAGCTAAACATAACTTCTGGAAAGGCAAAATCAGAGTTTGTTAATGAAGTCAAGCTTATTAGCAATGTTCACCATCGAAATCTTGTGCGCCTATTAGCATATGCTACCAAAGGAGCAGAGCTGCTCCTTGTATATGAATACTTGGCGAACGGAAGCTTGGATAGATTTTTATATGGTATGTACTGTCATCTTTGAACTTTTCGAGCTTTAATCCAAGATCAGGAGCTTGTGGATGCATGTTCTTCATCAGTCATATTCTCACTTCCATTTCTATCTGTCCCTGGAAATGTTTTTGATATTCATGTTGACAGGAGAGAAAAGAGGACATCTGAATTGGAAGAAGCGGTTTAACATTATTTTTGGCATAGCTTAGGGACTCGCGTATTTGCACGAAAAATATTATGTCTGCATCATTCATCGTGATATTAAGTCCAGCAATATCTTACTAGATGATGATTTTCAGCCGAAGATTGCTGATTTTGGACTGGCAAAACTTTTGCCTGGAGATAGGACTCATTTAAGCACCGGATTTGCTGGTACCTTGTAAGTGAAGTTAATTCATTCCTTTCAACAACTATTCAAGTATCATACATGAAATGAAACCATGAACAACTGCTTTTGTGATCACAGGGGATATGTAGCACCAAAATATGTAGTTCATGGACATTTGTCTGAGAAAGCTGACACTTACGGCTTTGGCATTGTGATCCTTGAAATAATCAGCGGCCAAAGAAGCAATAACACGACGGTTGCACCTGTTAGCGAGTCCCTTCTCGATCAGGTAAATTTCAAGCAGAGTTGATCATGTTGCCTAGCTATTTGTTTATCTTCTCGAATATTGGCCATTTTCGTGATGGTAACAGGCATGGAAGCTTTATGAAGGCAAATCACATGTACAATTGGTTGATGAAACTTTGGACCCTAATGACTACAATGCTGCTGAAGTCAAGAAAGTCATAGAAATCGCTTTGATCTGCACTCAATCACACCCTTCTGAGAGGCCAACCATGTCTGACGTAGTTATCATGCTGTCAGGTGATCAGTCAATCGAAGAGTGTCACCGTTCTAATAGTACCATCAGTTCTGATACAAAATTATTTGTAAAAGAGACACATTGACATCAAATGAAACTTTCAATCAAAATCTACCGTCAAGTCGTCAACAGCCCCTTCACTCTTTTTAGTTGATTCATTTATATCATAGAACAATAAGTGAAGAAGGTGAATATGGTGTTTTTTGCTACTGATTTTTGGAAGGCATATTGGGAATCAAATTGTTAGATAGTACTTGTAGACAAATAAAAGGAGATCAAGCTTTGTACTTCACTCTGCATAATGTAAATTTGTTAATTTACAATACGGACTATTTTTGTTAGACATAAAGAGTTTTTTATCATCCAAAATTTCGGACACTCTTCCAATGAAAATTAAAAAAATGGTAGTTTCACCAGTAAATCAACACCTCAAAAATTTCATTTTGAATAATGATAGGTAACTCATCTTATCATCTCACCTTGCATGGCATCTACTGATTGGGCAATCTATTTGTTATTTAAATTTAAAAAATTAAATTAAAATATTATTATATTTCATATTAATATTTGGCCTACTTATTATATTTTGTTTGGTTATAATTTTACCCTAAAGGGTTTATTTTTTTAGGAGTTAGGATCTATTTATTTTAAAATTTTAGATATATAAGTATTCAAAAAGTAAATAAATCTAACAAAAAAAATTATTAAATTAACTTATTAGAGTTTTATCCAATAATTAATTAACTTATTAAATTTCATCCAAAGACTAAATACCATGTAAAGTGAGATAAAAAAGTGAGATAAATTAGGTGAGATGTGTATCGTCACTCGTTTTTGGCATGTTAAGTAGTACGCAAAAAGGTTTACTAGTTGCAATTAAATAAATATTTTTTCGTCCTAAAATCATTATGTTATTACATTATCCCATTTTAGGACATAAAACATCTATTTTAGTTAAGTAAAGATTAAGGAAGTGCTTGGTTTGGGGTAATGAGAGGGTGTGAATTCTTCCTATGGGTTTCACACCCTTTCGAGGTTGCTTGGTTCATTTTGAATGAGCCACCCCTTTAAGGGGTGGCGAGAAAACCTTCGCCATGCGGCGAAGGTGTGGCGCCCTTCTGGGCGCCACATTGGTGCTGGTTGGCGAGCTTTTTGCTCGCCAACCAAAGGGTGGGTGGCGCCATTTTGTGCGCCACCCACCTTAATTACTTTTTTTTTATATAATTTTTTTATTTTTATTTTATTTATTTAATTATCTTTAATTTAATTATTTTTAATGTATTTAATTAATTTCTTTTATTTATTTTAATTATTAGCTTAATGAATTTATTTAATTCATGTATTTATTTAATTTATTTAATTCATGTATGTTCTTAATTTATTTATTTATTAAAGTTTATTTATTTGTTTGGTGGTTAAACAAATAATTTTAACTTAAATATTTAGAGAATGTTGCTTAATTATGTAGTAAATTATTTTTTCATTTATCATTTAGTTATGTAAAAATTTTTAAACTTAAACAAAAAATTATTATTTAATAAAAACTAAAATTTATGAATTTACTACCAAACAAATTAATTATTCATCATCGGTGCATCTAGTCATCCTGGGAATATTTTTTTGGAAAAAAATATAAAATTTAAAATACGTTGAAACGAAAAATTAAAAAGATTGAAAAAAATATAAAATAATTTTATTTATTTTTTTAATATTTTTTAACTGCCAAATAGATAAATAAAAAATAAACTTAAATAAATAAATAAATAAAATAATTAATTAAATAAATTAAAAAAAAAAAAAAAGTAAATTCGGTTTGGCGAGCAAAACGCTCCCCAAATCGAAGGGGGTGGCGCCAGATTTTTGCGCCACCCCCATTTTGGGGGTAAAGTTTCCTCTCGCCTCCCTTAATTGGGAGGCGAGAAAATTGTGCGCCACCCTTTAAAGGGTGGCGCATTTCTTCTGCGCCAGCCGTGAAAGGGTTTAGGGTCTGGCGCCACCCCCTTCGATTTGGGGAGCGTTTTGCTCGCCAAACCGAATTTACTTTTTTTTTTTTCTTTTTTTAATTTATTTAATTAATTATTTTATTTATTTATTTATTTAAGTTTATTTTTTATTTATCTATTTGGCAGTTAAAAAATATTAAAAAAATAAATAAAATTATTTTATATTTTTTTCAATCTTTTTAATTTTTCGTTTCAACGTATTTTCTCTTTTATTTTTAATATTCACTTTTTCTCCTCCTCCATCCCTCCGGCAGCCCTCAGTGCACCATAATTCTCTTTCTGCTATTTTCCTCCGAGCCACCGCCACCGCCACCGCCACCGCCGCCCCTCATTTTCGTCTCCTTCAACAAAATTGAAACCCTCTCCCAAAATCCACCTTCCCCCTACTAATGTTGGTCTCGTTCATATGCAACAATTTAATTCAATTCATTGAACTGCTGAATGGCAAATAGAGTTCGGGAATTAATTATGTTTCTACGGTTCTTTTGGGTTTTTTTTTTTCTTTTTATTCTCAAATTTCCTTCTTCTTGTTTTCTTCTTTGAGTGTTAGATCTCCAATTGGGTTGAATGATGATTGTAAAATCCAATTTCACATGGCAAACCTTTACTTGGTGGTGTAGAAATGTTTTTTATTTGATTAAAGTTTCCTCTACATTTCTTTTCCTTTTCCTATTCGATTGGCAGAGACAAAAATGTGCATATTTTTGTATTTTTGTCCTAATGAATGCATAGATATGCAATTTTCCTTCAACGGCTGCGGTTAGGAATGATTTGTCCATAACATCAATATTTATTTCATTGGAACAATTGCTACATAATTGTTTGTTGGCGAAAATGATGAATAGAGTAATATATTAGACAAAAGGATGAAAATGGAATTTGACTTCCATTCCGATGTTTGTATTAGCTTGAACCAAGCAACTAAAATGAGGATTTCATGCCCTGTACAATTTTTGTTGGCAATGAATCTTATTTTCTGATAATGAATCTCATTTTCTATCATTCCCAAAACCCATAGCTGTTCTGGAACCAGACACACCCTAAGTTATGCATGCACTAAATACGAAAGACACGTTGTTCTTAATTATTTTTTTTTCTCTTTGCAAAAGCAAAACATTATACTCCCTCCATTCCAATTCAATAAACTCACTTCCTATTTTGGGATGTTTTAAAATTTAGTCCCACTTCAGACAATTAATTAAGTTTTATTATAAACTCTCTAATATACCCTTTTTATTTTCACTGAAATCAAGTTTATTTAATTAATTTTAACAATTACTCTCTCATATTGAATTGGAATGGAGGGAGTATGTTTTTATTTCGTGCCCCTGATTTCAAGTGCACAAGAGATGCACAAACATTTGGCTTTCTCTAGTGTATTTTGCCTATAAATTCATAAGGAATAATCTTCATCAAAAAAGATATATTGCATAAAATAAACAGGACTAGTGAAAGCAAGCCCAGAGGTGAAGCTCAAAAGAAGCTTCATTTCCACTCTCTCTGCTTTGTTGCTATAGTCGCTGTTCCATTCTAATCAGGTATAAGCATTTTGCAAATTTATTGTAATCACAGAAAATGTTCATGTGGTTCACAAGTTCCCCCTTCCCCGAGACTTTCTATTTATATGGTACATCTTTTAAATTAGGAGCAAGGAATAACTTAACGGATGTTTAATTTACTATGTATGTATTCTAGGAATGGGAGATATGAATGAAGTGGAGAAAGGTGGTAATGTAGGAAGATGCATGGAAGTGATGGAGGCAGATCACGATGGATGCAATCTTTCATCACATGTCATTTGTATCATCATCAATGACTATCCCACTTAACTACATGATTTTAATCATTTAACATCAGAGAAAATTTCCATTGATTCAAACTAGGAAATAATTAGTGCTCATCAAAGATTTAAAAAAGAATACATCTGAGATATCGAAGGATGAAATCTACTCCAACAATTCATTGCCCTAATCAACCGAATTTCAAATCTAATCACTGAGAATCAAAATCTCAAAGCTATATGGCAAGGAATTAACCATCTCAGTTTAATTTCAACAAGGAAAGAAACAGACGCATTGGTATTCCCGTTATTCATTTGCAAGCATTGAAGCTTACTTCGTGAGCAAATTTACTCATTTGTTCCCAAATTACCCTTCGTGAGTAAAAAAACAATTTTACATGACCTTCTCCTCCTCACCCATCGCCTTCTATCACTTAATTGCCTTCCAATGATGTGTGTATACCCTTTCTAATTTTCTCTTTTAGCTAAAAAATAAGTAATATATGTATAAGTTAATTTTATAATCAGTTATTTGGCCTTTTTGACAGCATCCAATGTTCAAGTGGCTTAGTAACATTGGTTTTTCCTCCATGTATTACTTCTACGATTTTTAATAGTTCAAGAACAGGTGACTTGCCAAAAATGTGACTATCTCAATGCTTAACAATCGGATTTCCGAAATCCGATATCAGCATAAAATTGGATTCGGCAAATCCGATAGTCATATTTTTGGTTTGAACTATTTTTGTCTACTTTGTTTGGGGTGGGGGGGATTATTCAACTCAAACAGGACGAGTGAGAGCATTGCCATGTAAAATGGCATTTCAGATTTATGATCTTCATCACAAAGTTCAACTCAATAACGTGAAATCTAACCTTAGAGCTTGGAATTAAATTCCTTTTTATGAAAAAATATACATGGCAGTATGGCAAGAAATCGTTAAACAAGTGTCTTTTCTGCATTTCCAAATTAATATGCTTGTTTAAGTGAGATAAGGTCGGTCGAAACGTACATTTTGAAGATTTTAATTCCAAAAAAGGCATCTCCTTTGTCCAGTGGCTGCCTCCCCACGTTAGTTCGTTTCGAAAACTACAAACAATTAGTAAAATTGTCAAGAGCTTGAGCTGTACTTTTCTTCCTCCAAAGGATCCTACATAAACAGAATAATTTAATCTACCACAACTACGTAATAGATCTCACGTGAAACAAAAAGAATAAAAGATCTCGATAAACAAATTGAGTTTTTTAATTGCCATTTAGTTTTTTTAAGAAAATGGGTTTTTCATGTGAGAAATCAGGGGAAATATTTTAATATACATCGATCATTGACAACTTATAGTTTCCAATAGGGGTGTGCACCTAAGTTTGGCCGGTTTGGATTTGAAACCTCAAACCGAAACCAAACCAGGAATCCCGGTTTGAATTTTTCACAAACTGCCTTGGCTGAATTGAAATTTCAGACTGAACTGGCCGGACCATCCACAGCCGATTTGGTCCAGCCGGTTTGGACCACTTTGCAAGGCCAATTGTCCAAGCCCATTTGTTTGAACAAAATAAGTAGTCAAAGCTTAAAGTCGATTGTCCAAGCCCATTTATTTGAGCAAGGGAGTAGTCAAAGTCCAAATTTGAGAAAAGAGTGGCAAAATTGCTGATGAAGAGGCTCGAACATTAGCTCTAACGCGCGCCACACCCACTGGGCCGCCTCAAAATCTATGTCTATATGTCAAGTACTAATGTATTTATTATATATTTTAAAAAATTAAATATATAATATATACACGGTCCGGTCCGGCAGAAATGGCCGGTTTCATTGATGAAATCGTGACCGGACCGTTTTAATCCGGTTTGCAATCTTCCTTCCACCTAGCTGTTCATTTACTTTTCAAACCAGCCAAATCAATCCGGTTCGGCCAAACCGTGCACAACACTAGTTTCCAATAAAAATGTTTGGTGTAAATTTATCTCAATTCATAAGTAATATGTTGTTTAGATTGGCATGAAAGACTTTGTCAAAGTATATAAATATTTTGGCCTCCCATCTCAAAACTAATTGACAATGGGTGGGGTGGTCTTTGGAACTTATATACTGAGTCACTTTTCTTCAAGGTGACGATGTGAGACAGATTACACCTTAACACCCTTCCCCAAGTCCAATGGGCCTTTGAATTTTTTGCCCAAAGGACTTGGATGATAACAAGAATACAACGAAGCCCACGAATCAACGCTCAAGTGGGAGAAACCAATTATACCGCTGGATCGGTCAAAACAAGCCCACGAGTCAATGCTCAAGTGGGATAAAAGCCAGTTATACCGCCAGATCGGTCCACAACAAGCCCACGAGTCAAACGCTCTAGTGGGAAATTGTCACATATCAGTGGCCGGAATTGGAGTTGCCGATAACCGGAGGTCGATTATGGAAAAACGGTTGAAAGAGAATCAAGAATTGGGGATGAGAAAAATAGAGAGAGCAAGAGATGAGAGAGAAGATTCTGATGAATCGGCTTTATTATAACGCAATAATCATTTACAATGATTAATCGGATAATTATAGTAATTAACCGAATTAGGAACCCAAATCTAGCTGAACAATCATTTACAATTAATGCATTCAAAGAGGACCCTAACCTTTGTCTGAATTACCATTAATACTATTACAGACAAACCCCAAAACTATGACAATTTGTAAAATTGCCCCCTGATCATGACAATTCTTTCCCCCTTAATCAGAAACCTTGCCCTCAAGGTTTGAAGCTGGGAAACTGACTTCTTATAAAACCTTGGTCTTCCTAGGATGCCTCTTCCTGTTCCAAATTCCGCCATTTGATGAGCCATTGTACAACCTGTTTCCCACTTCTTGTTATGAAACGCCTCTGCAAGACGTTTTCTGGCTGCAAGGAACTCTCCTCTACTAGTGACAAATGAGATTGTGGGGTTGTTGCTGTTGGCTGATTCCCACAGTACTTCTTGAGGAGGGAGACATCGAATACAGGGTGAACTCGCGAATGAGGAGGAAGCTGGAGTTTGTATGCTACTGTGCCCACTTTTTCAAGAACCTTGTAAGGACCATAGTATTTAGACATGAGTTTTAGGCAAACTCTTACCGCCACTGTGGACTGTCTATATGGTTGGAGTTTTAGGAAGACCCAGTCTCCTACTGCAAAAGTTCGTTCTGTTCTGTGTTGATCAGCAAACAGTTTCATCCTTTGCTGAGCTTTTTTCAGGTTATCTTGGAGTAACTTGATAACAGTGGCCCTCTGTTGAACTTCATGGTTGATGGCAGGAAAGATGTTGTCTGTAAATGGTCCCATGGGAAAAAGAGATGGTTTCTCACCATATAATGCTTCAAAAGGGGATTGCTTGATACTTGAGTGAGGTGAAGAATTGTACCACCACTCAGCAAGGTGCAACAACTTACTCCAAGAAGATGGTTTATCACAACAGAAACCTCGCAAGTAATTTTCCAAGCATTGGTTTACCCTTTCTATTTGGCTGTCAGTCTGAGGGTGATACGCCGTGCTGAACTTGAGTTTGACTCCCAGTTGCTTGAACAATTCTTGCCAGAACTGAATGGTGAAAACCTTGTCACGATCTGTTATGATATCATCCGGCAGGCCATGAAGTTTGAATACTTCTTTGATGAACATTTCTGAAACTCTAATAGCAGTAACAGGAGGTTGAAGACCAATAAAATGCACATACTTTGTGAACCTGTCAACTACCACTAGTATAGTATCAAACCCTTCTGATGGAGGAAGCCTGGTGATGAAATCCATGGAAATGTTCTTCCATGCATGTTGAGGCACTGGATTCGGTTGAAGGAGCCCTGGATACGGCACATTTTCACTCTTGTTTCGTTGGCAAGCTTCACACTGCTTAACAAAATTTATCATGTCTTGTTTCATTCCTGCCCAATAGAAGAATGACCTCAAGTTTTGTAATGTAACCACTTGACCGGAGTGACCACCTAAAGGTGAAGAGTGGAAAGCTTGCAATAAGGACTGTTTCAAACCAGTACTATTCCCAACCACTATCTTTCCGTTTTTCCTGAGGAGACCTTGTATATGCTGATAGACAGTATTACTACAAGAACTGACAGTAAGACCGGCTATTATATTAGCTATGTCCTGATCTGATTCATAACTGCTGATAAGATCTAACATCTATTGAGGTGGAATAGAAGTGATGGCTTGAAGAGTAGAGTTTCCTTCTCCAATGTGACTAATCAACTGATCATGGTTAGGTCTCCTTGACAATGCATCCGCCACCGTGTTTTCCTTTCCCTTCTTATATTGGATTTCGTAATCATAACCTAATAATTTTGTAAGCCACTTGTGTTGATTAGTATTGATCACCCTTTGCTCCAACAAATACCTCAAGGACTGGTAAGTTCAGATAATGAAGCGAAGTCCCAAAAGGTAGTGTCTCCATTTAGTTACAGCTAGAACCAACGCCATCAATTCCTTTTCGTAGACTGAAAGACCCTTGTTCTTCTGACTGAACGCTTTGCTGATGAAGGCAATGGGTTGGCCATGTTGCATGAGGACAGCTCCCATTCCGGAATCACAAGCATCCGTTTCAACAACAAATGGAAGGGAAGAATCGGGCATTCTAAGGACAGGAGCAGAGGTTATGGCATTTTTAAGGTGCTGGAATGCTAGCTGCTAATCTGATTCCCACTGAAATGCATTCTTCCTCAACAAATTCGTAAGTGGTTTGCATATGAGGCCATATCCTTTGATAAATCTCCGATAATATCTGGTTAAGCCTAGAAATCTCCTCAATGCCTTAACAGAAGTTGGTATAAGCCACTGAATAATGTTGCTGATCTTGTGAGGATCCATACTAACCCCATGAGATAAATAATGTGACCTAGGTATTCAACCGAATTCTGAGCAAACATGCATTTACTACGCTTTGCATATAACTGATTACTTTCCAAAATTTGTAACACTTCCTCCAATTGACTAACATGTGACTCCAAATCAGGACTATATACCAGAATATCATCAAAAAATACTAAAACGAACTTCCTCAACTGTTTCTGAAAAATTTGATTCATTAAAGACTGAAAAGTGGCCAGAGCATTAGTTAAACCGAAAGGCATTACCAGGAATTCATAATGTCCATGATGAGTTTGAAAATCTGTCTTGTGTATATCCTCCTTGCTCACACAGATTTGATGATATCCTGAACGAAGATCCAGCTTAGAGGAAACAGCAGCTCCATTTAATTCATCCAAAAGTTCCTCAATAATGGGAATTGGAAACTTGTCTTTGACTATCATGTCATTCAACTTCCTGTAATCAACGCACATTCTCCAACTTCTGTCCTTCTTCTTCACTAGAATCACTGGAGAAGCAAAAGGACTCTTGCTTGCTCTAGCTATTCCTTGTTCCAGCAACTCAGCAACTTGCCTTTCAATCTCTGATTTGTATGCATGGGGGCATCTATAAGGTGGCATTTTGAATGGTTGAGATCCTGGTTTTAAGGGAATCTGATGATCAACGTCTCTATTGGGTGGCAGTGAATCAGGAGTACCGAAAATAGCACAATATTGATCCAAAAGCTGACTAACGTTATCCGGTAATGGAACCTCCACTAGTTAGTTCCTGCCATTGTTTCCACTGATTCTGTTTCTTGTAGCTGCACGGCAAACATCCTGCACCTTCTTTCCTGTTTGACCCCTGGACAATTTTCCTCACGAATCAAACTCATACTAGCCATTGTTCCAGTGCCTTGGAGAATGTGTTGACGACCATATTTGCTTAACCTCTCATGCATTTCATCATAATCGAAAGTAATTGGATTGAAGTGCCTCATCCAATCTACAGCAATTATCATGTCATAACCCCCTAACTTCATGATTTTCAGGTCAAAGCTGAACTTGTACTCTTCAATATTCCAGTGGAGATTAGGAGATATCAAGTTACCAGAGATTTTATTGCCGTCACCCACTATAATTGTAAATGTGTGAGATTGCACAAAAGGAAGTCTCATTTCCTTGACCAAAAGCATGTCAACGAAGCTGTCAGTACTCCCTGTATCGATTAGAATCTTTACTATCCTTCCCTGAACCTTTCTTGCAACCAGAATAGTCTGTTTAACACAATCAACAGACAATACATGCATCGAACCCTCTTCAATGGTGAGGTCGTTCAGGTCGATTCCATCATCAACTAGCAATTCAAGAGCTTCTAATTCAGGAGATTCTACATCTGCATCTTCCTTATTGACAATCATGATATTGAACTGGCAATACTTACATACATGCCCTTGTCCAAATTTCTCTCCACACTTGAAACATAAGTGGTTGTTCAGCCGGTATTGATACTCTTCGTTGCTAAGTCTCTTTACCAATTCTGGATTAATCGATTTACTGGACTTTGGCGACTGCTTACTCAATTCAGAAGTTCTACTGTATCCCTGATTAACTCTTGGAAATTGATTGCCTGTAGCTTTGTGTTTCTTAATTGACAACTCCAATTGTTGCTCCTGCAACAAAGCTAGTTTGAAAGTTGCTGTAAGAGTCACTGGTTCAAACATTCTTACCCCAGGTTGTAATTCTTCTTTTGACCCACTCAAGAAACTGTGAATGAAGTACATTTCAGATAATCTTGGATCTTGAATCAACATTCGGGCTCTCAATTCTTCGAATTTGGCTTGGTATACTCTAACATATCCTTTCTGAGTAAGCTTATTGAATTCCTCCACTGGGTTAATTTCTGCAAAGTCCACAAATCTTTTCTGTAATTCCACGCAGACTTCCTTCCAAGAAATCTCAGGTTTAACCATTTTGATTGCCTAAAACCAAGTATCCGCTTGCTCATCCAAATACAGCTCGATATGCTCCACTTTCTGTTCTTTAGGAATTTGATGTAGCGAAAAGTATTTTTTGCATTTACGAATCCATTCCCTGGGACGATTTCTCACGAAAACCTGTAATTCAACTCTAGGTTGAGTATAGAATGGAACCATAGCTGCCTTCTCCTTCAATTGAATCGGATTCTCTGATGAACTTCCAGTACAGGTCATAGAAGACGATCTGTCCTTGTAACCACCATGCGAAATAACCGGGGATTTGGAATTAAGCCATTCGGAATGGTTCTTTGACGGAGGGCAGAAAGAACATCCTTTACTTGATTTGACAAAGAGTCCATCTTGGAACTTAGGCATCGATCTTCCCTTCATTGTTGGCACATCGCGAATCAATTTGAGATCTCATGCCTTCTGTGTGTGAACGTAGCTCACTGGACTGCGTATGAAACTCCGTCAATAGCTCCGTCAATCTCTGGTCTTGACAGCGGATCTGTTCTTCAAGATCTTTCTGCGATCTAGTTTGCACCATACTCAAAGCTGTTCCAAAGCCGAGGAATATCCCCGACTCTGATACCAACTTGTCACGTATCAGTGGCCGGAATTGGAATTTCCGATAACTGGAGGTCGATTATGGAAAAATGGTCTGAAGAGAATCAAGAATTGGGAATGAGAAAAATAGAGAGAGTAAGAGATGAGAGAGAAGACTCTGATGAATCAGCTTTATTATTACCCAATGATCATTTACAATGATAAATCGACTAATTATAGTAATTAACCAAATTAGGAACCCAAATCTAGCTGAACAATCATTTACAATTAATGCATTCAAAGAGGACCATAACCTTTGTTTGAATTAGCATTAATAATATTACAGACAAACCCCAAAACTATGACAATTTGTAAAATTGCCCCCTGATCGTGAAAGAAATATAACATTACCAAACAGGCCACTTTTTGGGCCAGAACACTATCACAGGCCCAACACGCTCTGATACCATGTCAAAGTATACAAGTATTTTGGGCTCCCATCTCAAAACTAATTGGCAATAAGTGGGGTGACCTTTGGAACTTATATACTGAGTCACTTGTTTTCATGGTGGCAATGTGGGACAGATTACACCTTAACAGACTTGGTAACGTAAAAATTGCAATCTAGATAAATGAAACCATTTGATATGCATCTAGACAAATTTACACATCTCTTTTATTTTTCTTGGTGTAAAAAGGTAAATATATATATATATATATATAAAGATTGACACACCAAGCGGGACCATGACCGTCCTTTACAAACACAGCTTAACAGAACAAAACTATGCTCTCTATAAAACTGCTGGAGAATAAAGGATCTCCCTGAAAAATACTAAGGTAAAAAAAGAAAACGAGTCTCAGAACACATATTTAAGCCCCTATTACAGTTTTCTACTTGATCCAGCTGGTTCAGAAGTATTTTGTAGAGATCTCTGCTGCTGCTCTGTTCTTCGTCTTCTGACAATGCAAGAAACGGCATCTCACTTCATCTTTGATCAGGAACATGATTTGTGCTGGACTCCTCTCCAGTTGCTGGAACTGTCTTCGGTTTCTCTCCTCCCACAGGTGATAAATACAGGCTGCCATTACAGCCCAGAGAAGATTCCTTTTAGTCTTCTGTCCTTTCCACATATTCAGAATTTGGACCCTCCACCGTATTTCACTTGCTGCTATTTTCACGCAACCCAGCCCGTTGACAATTTGATCAAGTCATGCTGCTGCAAAGTTGCACTGAAGAAATAAATGCTCAGTAGTTTCTGGCTGCAACTTATACAGCAAACAACTCTGATCAGTTACAACCATATGCTTTGAGATGAGTCTCTCTTTTGTCCATAACCTCTTTTTCCATGCAAGCCAGGTTATGAATGAGTGTTTTGGGACATTCATTCGTGACCATATGCTTTGAGATTCCCTGGCCTTCACCTCATTCCCTGTAAGCCAAGTGTACCCTGATTTCACAATATATTTACCATTATTTAATGCCAGCCAACTGCTTCCAGCAAAACCAAGTTTCCCCTGATCCCTGATCTTCAAGAGCTTTTTCCACTGCCAACTAGCATCACATTTAGCCTCTACTTCCCAGAATGATGAACTTTTGATATAAACACCATGAATCCACTTAATCCATAATGCATCTTTCTGTGAAGCTATCTGCCACACTTCTTTCGGTAAGGCTGCTTTGTTCCAGATTTTTGCGTCCCTGATCCCCAAACCACTAGCTACCTTTTTCTTACAAATCTCTTCCCATCCCACCAAGGATACTGCCTTACCATTTTCTTTAACCCCCCCCCCCAGAGAAACTCTCTACATAATCTTTTCACCATCCATGTTATACTATGGGGTAAATTAAACATATTACCCCAATACGTATGCATCGACATGAGTACTGAATTCACTAAAACTAATCTGCCTGCATAGGACAGATGTCGAGTGCTCCAGCAATTAAGTCGTGCGGTGATACGATTTATGATCCCCTGACACTCTACTTGGGACCATTTTTTGGGTGACAACGAAACACCCAGGTACTTCATAGGAAAAACCCCTACAGGAAACTCAACTATTTCAGTAATTTTCTCCTGAAGTACCTCACTAACCCCTCCAAAGTATATAGCAGACTTTTGTACATTTGCCTCTAGACCTGTGGTTCCCGTAAAATGCCTTAACACCCCCATTATCGTCTTCACAGTCTCAACATCTGCTTTGCAGAAGATCATTAGATCATCTGTGAAGCAGATATTGGTCAGTTTTAGTTGCTTGCACATAGGATGAAACCTAAAACCTGTTTCAGCATCTTTCTTAAGGCTACGAGTAAGGTATTCCATTACTAGAACGAAAAGAAGAGGCGAAACAGGGTCACCTTGTCTTAATCCTCGCTTTCCAGCAAAAAAACCCACTTAGCAGCCATTAACAGCTATCGAAAACGATGGCGATGACACACATGCCATAATCCGTTTCCTAAACTCCTCCGGGAATCCATACCCTAAACATATCATCTATAAATCCCCACTCAACAGTATCAAATGCTTTTTTCAACTCAATCTTCATCATCATTCTCTTACTAACCCCTTTCTTCTATACAATCTAATCAATTCCTGGGTTATAAGTACATTATGTATAATTAGCCTATCGTTTACAAAGGCTGTTTGGTTTTCATCTACTAAGATAGGCATGATACTACTCATTCTATTACACAAAACTTTCGAAATGCACTTATAAATAACATTACAGTAGGATATAGGTCTAAATTGATTTGCATTACAAGGATTATCAACTTTAGGGATCAAAGTAACTAAAGTTGAATTAAGCTATTTGAGTATCTGACCTGTATTGAAGAACTCCATGACAGCTGCCACCACATCATGTTCCACGATAGACCAAGCTGCTTTGAAGAACCCCGAGCCAAAACCATCGGGGCTAGGAATTTTGTTCACGTCCATGTCCTAGAAGGCTTTTTTGATTTCTCCTCTCTGAATTGGCTGTATAAGTCTCACTTGATGCTCCACTGACAGTACAGGCCCAGTCTTAAACATTTCTTCCTTCACTGATTCTCTCCTGTTTGTCTTCCCTAATAATTCTCTGAAGAAGCAAACGAAATGCTCTTTGATGTCTTTCTGGTCAGTAATCTCCCTTCCATTCTCCTCTTGCACTCCCCAAATTCTGCTTTTCCTTGCTTTAACCTTCAAAGACGTGTGGAAGTATTTTGTATTGTCATCACCTTCACCAAGCCAAGTTTCCTTAGATCTCTGTTGCAAAAAACTGTTTGAAGCTTTTCTGGACACTACATACAGATGATACAATTTCCTTTCTTCAATCTGCAAATCAACATCACCAGGATCAAAGCTGAGCTTTTGTTGCATCACTTCCAGTTGTACCTGTCCTCTGTTTGCTTTTTCCACTATATCTGCAAATTGTAGTCTGTTAAGTTTCTTCAATGGATATTTTAACCTCTTCAGCTTCTGACATAATTGATACATAGAAGTGCCTTCAACACTTGCTGCCCAACTCTTTTCCACTGTGCTCAGAAATTCAGTGGATAGACACGACGTGTTAAAAAATCTAAAAGCACTTCTCCTCCTCTGCATTTCTGCCTTGAACTGAACCTCAATTGGTGAGTGATCCGATACTCCTTCCATCAACACCGTTGCTATAGACTCTACATATTGGTCAATCCATTCACTATTGACTAATGCTCTGTCTAATTTAGCATATATCCTTTCGGTTCCTAATCTTTGGTTGCACCAGGTGAACATCAATCCTTTCTGAGTTGGATATCGTAAACCACATTCATCCATACTCCATTGAAATTCTTCAAAATCCTGAAGCACTAAAGGCTTCCCCCCAAGTTTTTCCTCAGGCTTCAAAATGTTATTGAAATCCCCTATCATTAACCAGGGATCTCCAATACTTTTTGAGAGCCCTATTAACTCTGTCCATAACTGTGACCTTTCCTCCTGTTCATTTGATGCATGAATTCCGGTAAAATAAAACGGCCTACTTCCTTGCTTTATCTTACAGAAGGCATGAATCATCTGCGAACTTTGACTTAACACTTGTACCTCTATATCATTGTTCCAAAGCACCATTACTCTTCCTCGTTCATGGCTATCATAGTTAGTGCACCACGGCCAACCCTTCCAGCAATTTTGCAAAAAACTGCTCTCATCTTTGTCTGTTCATCTTTGTTTCCACTAAACATATCATACTATTTTTCCAGTCATTCACTCTTCTGTAGATTTCTTTTTGCTTGAGAGGAGAGTTGAGACCCCTTACATTCCATGATATTATACTACTCATAGGAACTTGGACCAGAATCTACAACTAATCCCTCCTTTGCTCCAATGCTTATAGAACTCTCCACAAAAGTTACCATAGTCTCGTCCTCACAGCTCTGATCCCCCTTATTCTTCTCCAGATTACCTTCCTCATATAGGCTATTTGCAAACTGCCCAATACTTTTGACTAAACTTCCCTCACATGATGATTGATCTTTTCTCCTCACTGTAGGCTTCCTTTGATTATCATCAGTTACTATTATCTTTTCAGCGTTACTTCTACCTTCATCCTTTTCCACTTTTTTCCAAGCTGACAGTGGTTGTTTAGGCTTATCCTCTACTTTCCTCAATTTAAGTCTGCACTTATCAGTGAGATGACCATATTCTGTACAATGAGCACATCTAGTGGGTAACCATTCATAGACGACCTTCTCATCCTCAAATACCAGTTTATCAGGGACATTAGCTGCAATTTTCATCTCAACCAGTATCCTAGCAAACTAAACTCTCTCCTTTCTAACAGTATAGTCATCTGCTAGAATTGGGGTTCCAATTGCACTAACCAGCCTACTAAGGGAATTAAGATTCCAAAATTTAACTTCCAAGCCATATAAACGTATCCATATAGGAACATAATCAACATCATTATAATTAATCCCTTTTTCTACATCCCAAGGCTTCACGATTAAGGGCTTTGACCCGAAATGGTAGAAATTCACATTTAGCATTGAATCTCTAGCATTTAGAGTTGTAAATCTAACAATAAAAAGCCCACTAGGCAAGAGAATTACCTTATCAATGCCTAGATTTCCCCAGAGCTTCTGGAAATATCTCTCCATAATGCCAATTGGTGGATGAGCTCCCAGTACAAAATATGCGATGGAAGATTCCCAGTACTCTGCTTCAGATTTAACATCCTCCATCTGCATCTGAGCAATGTTCTGGCCTGCCACCTCCTTTGGCGGAATGAATTGCAATTTTCCTGACGGTGCTTTGAATTTACTTGTATCATTCTTAGCCCACACTCCTTGCTTCTCATCTCGTTCCATCATTTCTGACCATTGCAGTTGTCTCTTAGCATTCAGATCTCGCCCAGCTAGCTCAGTTTCATCTTGTCTCTTTCCACTGCTACGTCCATCACTGAGGGATTGACGCATTTGAATACCCATTAATTCTGTCGGTGTAGCCATCTTCGAATTCTCTTTAACTCCCCCCTTCCTGTTAACAGACAAATTCGCAATTTCAGCCATAATTCTCTCTATCTCCACTGATTGTAGATCTGAAACCCTAGTTGAACCCTTCTTCTGCTTTGATTTATCCGCCATAACATCCACTCGATCTTTTTTGTTATCCCTTAGAATCTGATTTCTCTCCTCTACTTGGGGCTGAGTTGCTTTCCCCTTCTTCTTTCTGCGTGCCATGGCAGGCACACGTTAGTCGCGTGCGCCGAGAGCGAAGAGAGAGAAAGTTCAGCGAAGAGAGAGAAAGTCGCGTGCGCTATTACACATCTCTTTTAGCTAAACCTTAATATGGACATTTTTAATTTCCACTACATTTTTAATCTATAGATCTTTGACACATTTTTACATTTTTATTTAATAAAACTGTTCCAAATAAATTTACAAAGCGACCCATGTGAAGAACATAAGGTCGGTTCGAGTGTCAGATATCTATATGTATGTATATATATATATATATATATATATATATATATATATATATATTAAAGTTGGCCACTTTTAAGCCATCTCCACATAGGATTGCCACATGTCATTTTCTAATGTTTTTAGTTTTTTTTTTTTAATTTTCAAATGTCAAATATTCATGTAAAATAATCCCTTCCATTTGTTACAAATTAGTTTAATTAGTCAAATTCAATCCATATAGACATATGGAGAGATCATATGTTGCTATGAGAATGTATCTCTACTTATTTCCGGTTGATTCCTTCCTTCCAGAGTGATTTAATTGGGATTAATATTGAATTGTATGGATACAATCATCTGTTCTTATTTGGTTTGATTGATTGGCTTAGTTGATTGGATTGATTTCATATTCATGGCTTAATAGGTTTCATATTCCTCTGTCATGATTGAAGTTTTGGCCCTTATTTGGTTCTAATGCTTAAGTATTTTTTAATCTGCAACTAATGTTCCAAGGGGATACGATTTGTTTCATGTTGAATATTGCTATAATCACGTTATTAATTGCAAAATAGTTTTCACTTTGCCACTAATTAATCTAAGTTAATTCAGTAAATATTATACCTCAATTAAATTAATTGATTATAAAGGGAATTCAGTAGTTATTATATCCTCAATTATGGATACCCTCAATTAAATTAATTGATTATAAAGGGAATTCAGTAGTTATTATATCCTCAATTATGGACATTAATTGCAGATTACCCACGTGCATGATCCCTGAATTAAAGAATGAAATTGAATTATTATATTTTAACCCTTGAAACTAAATATTCTACTGTATAGTTAAAGTTGCAACTATAAAAGAGAACAAACTCTCCATTTGAAAATCACTCGCATCTCCAATTTTTTTCCCCGCTCGGCTCCTGATTAATTAAGTTCGAGAGGTAAACAAAAATCCTCCTTTTCTCTAATCTCCCTTGACATCTCACTTTTCTCTTTACTGAATTATTTGCGCCGCCCTGAAAATAATAATAATAAAATGATTCTTCATTTGATCGATTTTCTTTTTCTTTTTTATGATTTTATGTCTGTGAAGCGCTTTATAAGAACTAATAATTTTTTCCTACACATTTGTTATCGTATCCGGGTCTCTATATTATGTTCTGGTCGCGTCGTGGAATTTGGGAAGTCGACGGATTTTTTATTTTTTGGTTTTCCAATTCAAACGAACGATAAGGCCATGTTAATGTAAAGAATTATTTCTTTCGGTTTTCTTAAAGTTAATAATTCTTTTTCGCGTTCATTATACTTTATGGCTTTTTTCTATGTTGATAATCAGGTGTACGTATTGAGAGTTTGCGTTAGAAAATATACTACGAATTTGCACAAGAATGCAAGACAAGGTAAAACCGCTTTTGTATTCTTCTTTTGACTAATTCTTTGATTTTAGTTGTCTCTTCAGTTGGTAAATATTAAACATATTCCACTTACATTGAAAAAAACGCACATTTCTAGCTAAATGCCTCTTCAGTTGACTAATTTTTTTGTTTTTTTTTAATATTTGTTTTGGTACAGGATGTATACTGAGCATTGTTTCTCATTTTATTTTGAAAGTAACATGTCGACTTCATTTTGAATTTTAGGTAGATCTGGTTTTTTTTTTAATGTTCTTTTTTTTGTACAGCATGGGCTTCTGCATCTTGGTTAGTTAAACTCTAAACAAACTTACAAGCGTGCATAATCATTAGCAAATTGTGTTTAGTGATGAGCTTGTGTTGGATTCATATTGTGCAGGTGATAATGAAGATTCCGCAATCAACAATTTTTTATTTAAATATCAATACATTATTATATTTATAGTAAGTAATTGTATAATGATATATATATATATATATATTTATATATATTTTGATGAATGACCAGTAACGTTTTTGTCCCTTCCACTTTTTTCGACACTATTCTCTTCTTTCCTTTGTTTTTATGGTATTAGGACAACCAAAATTAGTAGCAGTTCTCTCATTTAAACCGTGCATCATGCGTAATTTCCTCTTTTATCATTTCTTATTACTTTTCTTAATGATTGTATCACTAATGTCCACCATAATCGTAGATATTCTTTGATTTTAAAACAAATAAAACATTCTCTTTTAAGCTAGAAAACTCGTGTAGCCTATAACGTCTATATGATGTTCAAATATGAGAGTTAAGAAAACTACGGATAATAGTTCACGCTAAATTGTAAAGATTATATTTACAAACAAGAAAAGAATGGAGTTTATAAAAAATTCATTTATAATTTATACTTCCTCCATTCTGAAAAGATTATATTTGTTTTTTTTTTTTTTTGGGGGGTTGTATACTGCTGCGAACTTTAGATGAGGTTCGTATACTACTTTTAATGAGTTTTTGTTTGAATCATTTTTAGCATTTGTTTTTTCATTTTTCCTTTAAATCATGACGAGAAGTCGAGAACCTTCTCCATTTTTTATGGTTGAAGCATAGAGGAAGGAGGATAATTCCATATGACTTTCCAAAAACGGTAATTTAAAATCTGACTCCATTTATATATAACTTACAGGTTGACACCATGAATGGTTATTCTTAAATCATAACTAGAGTTTGGACCCATTCCATTTCATCTGGATGGATAAGTGGATCATTTTCATCATATCATTAGTATTCTTTTACTTTAAAGTTTTAAGCCGTAAATTCGTTCGACTCACAATTTTTCTACGGGTCCTTTTCTCATAAGGACAATATTAGATCGGGTTGAAGACTACGGTACTGCGATAAACCAATGGAAGCAAAATCTTCACTCATGTGCGGTAAATTTTTACTATTACTGTTTTTTATTGTTAACATATTTTCTTTCCGGGCCATATTTTGTTCAGGACAACCTGAATCTATGGTAGTCTATGTATGGATCAATTATGAACAAGTGCACAAGATACAATTTTATTTGCTACTGATTTCAGCTTTGGCTTGGTGCAGCCGTATGTCCGATTCTCATAGTAAATTTCTTTGTGACAAAAAAAATTCAAAAAAGCATATATTTAAGCACAAGATTAACTTTTATTTTTATTGTTGCAACTAAAACCATTTCTGCGAACTAAATTTATTTAGTTTATACTACCTTAGTTGCTATATGGAGATTAGGAAATTAGTTAAGAAGGAAGCCACCGTATATACATCTTGTCTTCCAATATCTAATTTCCATTTTATAAAAATTTTTGTCATGAAATTACTAATGACATGTTTGTTACTGTTTATTGAGAAAATAAAATGTTCATGTTGTTTCAAAATGTAAGTAATCTAACAATTCTTGAATATTACTCCCAATTAATCTCATTTTAATATGGCAAGAATCCATTAAGAAATTTACTGGCTTTGCTGTTCAGTGTTTGAATTAAAAAACAATGCAGATCTCTAATGCAAAATAAAAATTAAATTTTTCCGTGTTCATATTGATATGTTTTTAAGCTTATAGCAGTTTCAACTTCTGATGACATTGTTGGTTACATTTGTTTGATTAATTAGCATATTGATCTATTTTTTAGAATGTGACTATTTGTTCGCCCTTTGTTCCTAATTAAACTTGAGAACCACTGGACAATGAGAGAGTTGCGGAGAATGATTCATGAAAAGTCACTCCTTTTAATTTTTCTTCCGAAAAAAAATGTAACTCTTCAGTATTGATGCTTTTAAAGTTTCTGCTGGTTATTTTGGTGTTTCTATTAATTCCATTGGTAACTCGGGTGGTTTAGCCTTTTTATGGAGGAAGGACCTCTAGGTGAACATTAAAGTTTTTTCTCGTCGTTACTTTGATGCGGAAGCAGTATTTATGGGTGTAACTGTTCGTGTTACTGGTTATTATGGTCAGCCTGATACCTCACTTCGTCGTTCAGCTTGGGAAAATTTTGCAACCTACTTAGGTCAACCCCCCGCCCCCCTTCCATGGATCTGTTTTGGGGGACTTCAACGAAGTTATCACCCATTCAGAGTATCAGAGTGATCGATGTCGTCCGGAATGGCAGCTTGAGGCGTTTTGGTGAGCGTTGGATTGTTGTGGCCTCTCCGATCTCGGGCATAAGGGCGACCGTTTTACATGGTGTCGGACGGCGGTTGCTCCATACATGCAAAGGGCTTGGTTGGATCGAGCACTTTGCAATCAAGCATGGCGACAATGCTTCCTTTGGAATAGTGTGTGTCACATACCAACACATGTTTCCGATCATCAAGCTCTGCACATTCAATTCCAGAAAAGTTTATTGGGACTACACGAGGAAGGAAGCAGAAGCTGTTTTGCTTCGAGGCCTGCTGGATCAAATCATCTGAATCCGAGAGAGCTGGGATGCGGAGCCTGAATCAGTGTTGGAAAAGTTAAAATCATGCGAGATAGTGCTGCTTAACTAGAGCAAGAATACTATCGGAAATATCCCAAAAAAGATCGAAGCTGCCAAGAAAGAGCTTCATCAGCTGAAAGAGGGAACCATCACATAGGCTACAAAAATTAGAATAACAGAACTCACAGAAAAGCTTGATGA